AAAAAGCGTTGATGAATCCGGAATTCTGGAAATCTTTTGAGCTTTCTTTTGCGCTTTCTTTTGCGCGCAATAGATTAATCCCCTTGGCGAACTTCTTTCCAGGGTAAATCACTTCGATAATCTTTCTTTTGATCTCTCTTTCTCTCTCTCTCTCTTTCTCTCTCTCTTTCTCTCTCTTTCTCTCTCTCTCTTTCTTTTTCTTTCAATTCTTTTCCTGAACGCTTCCTTCAACTCTTTCATCGAGTTTCCAAAGAAATTCCCGTTCTAAAGAGTAAACTGAATATCTTTCAAGTTTTTTCAAGTTCTTTCAATATCTTTCAATATCTCTCAAGTTCTTTCAAGTTAGAGTATTCAATTTTGAATTCAGAACACTTGTACGTTATTGTACTGTATTGTACTCCTGTATACTATAACTTTCAATCATTTTTTAACAAGACTTTAAACATTAACTTGTAAAATCTGAAACTAAAAGATAGATTTTTATTTTTTTACAAGCTGGCTGGCCTTATCTAAAGCCAAATAAAGTCGAAAATCTGTCAGATTACTTAAACTTTGTTATCATTTCATTTTTAGAACATTTTTCTACTTTATATTCCAAATTTAAGCCTAATCGGTGGGTTATAAGTAAAACTAAAGTCATTTGAAGTTATGTAAAAGTGTCTGGCAACGAAATGCTTTTGTTTATAAAGATTGGAGATTAATTGAAAGCAATGAAAGCATTCAAATGAAAGCATTCAAATAAAAGCATTAGAATGAAAGCATTTAACTTTTTAGAAGAGCAGAAATGTAGAAATCTGCTTCTGCAAGCTAGGCCAACCTCGAATTTTTTTGATTTAAAACATTCTAGATGGTAGTTACGATGTCTTGCGTTTATCACCAGTAGGCCTTCATGTTTATCACCAGTAGGCCCCCCCCTCTCCCCCATTCATGTTTATCACCGTTAGCCTGGTTGAGGAATGGTGAAGCGAACAGAAAATGCTTCTTTCATTCAGATTCCCGTCGGCAAAGTCTCTTGTTTTCGGGACAAAGAAATGGGAAAGAAATGGGAACAAAATACTGAAGAAAGGCTGAAGAAAGGCTGAAAGAAGAGAAGGAGGAAGTCGGGGAACGGGGAAAGGGACGGGGACTGAGACTGGAGCAATCCCTAGGGCACTAAAGCAAGTCCTAGCCACTGTACCCCACTCGAATTTGTCTGACTTTTATCTAGAATTTCGATGACATATAGCTTTTCTTTCAATAGCTTTTCTATGCAATAGCTTTTCTTGTGAGCTTTTTGTTATCAAAGTCTTGGAGATTAGTCAGCAATGATAGACAATGATGATAGACAGCAATGATAGACAATTTCCCCTTTACTTCGACTTTTCGGTTTACTTTGAAGATTGTTATAGTAGTAGACTGTTGTAGTAGTATTAGTATATTGTTTTTGTATATTATAGTGTTATAGTAGCCTTCAATTACCTCTCCCATCTCCTCTTCAACTCACCGCCAACTCTTCTCTCCTCCTTCTTTCATTCATTCATTGTTTAACATCCTCAGATACTTCTTTCTTTCTTCCTTTCTTTCTAACTTCTTCCTTCCTTTCTTTCTTTCTTTCTTTCTTTCTAACTTCTTCCTTTCTTCCTTCCTTCTCTTTCTTCCTTTCTTCATGGGGAAAGAAGGTGTGCTTAGCTCAGTGATAGAGCATCTTCTGATCTTCTGCCGGTAAGCAGAAGATCGAGTTGAAGGTCGAGAGTTCAATTCCCCATTTCTTCCTTCCTTTCTTCCTTCTTTCTTTCTTCCTTTCTTCCTTCCTTTCTTTCTTCCTTCCTTTCTAACTTCTTTCTTTCTTCCTTCCGCAAATTTCTTTCAAATGAAATTATCTCAAAGATTTGATGAATCTAAGCCTTTTTTTATATCGCTATATCATCGCATCTGGGCTCCTTATTTGTATTTGTGGTTTGCCAAATTCTGTACGATTGTGTATCATTGATTGATCTCACGTTTTATCCTTTTCAGGCGAATCCCATTTTGTTTTTGTTTGTTTCAGATGTAATTTCTTCTTCAAAGTCATTTCTTCCTCTAAATCATATCATTTTAAACTTAAACCTTTCTTTGTTTAACGAAACTTTGCATCCAAAAGCTTTTCAGGTTATACAAGTACAAGATTTCCCTTTCCCCGCCCCGCTTCCCCTCACCCTCAACTTTCTACATAGCAACGATCTTTCTACATTGTACATTGAAGTGATTCTTGAAACAAGGTCATTTCATTCATATCGTTATCTTCTTGAAATCTTGAGAAACCATCCGAGTGTTGTTTTTTTTGTGTGAAAGCACACAAAAGAGCACTTAGCATTTGAGGGGAAAAGCTAAGAGACATCGATAAATTTAATAATCGAAAGAAAAACAGCTAATGGATTCATTCATTTAACTTAAACCCCACAAAAACTGCTCTTGTTTTGCTTTTTAGGTTTAAATGACTTTAAATTAATAGCTGGCCTCTAATGAAAAGTTCTAGCTGATGTGAACAGTCTTGGCTCCTTATTTGTATTTGTGGTGTGCTAAATTCTGTACGATTGTGTACGAAGATAGCGCACACAAAACCATTTAAGCCATTTAAAGTCATTTAAAGCCATTTAAAGCCATTTAAAGCCATTTAAAGCCATTTAAAGCCATTTAAAGCCATTTAAACCCATTTAAACCTAAAAAGCAAAATAGAGAGGCAGTCGACGGATTCGAACCCGCCAGGTCTCGCCTTGGATTCTAGCTTACTACCACTCGGCCACCCCGCACTCTTTGGGCGTCAGAAAAGACCGGCTTTAAAGGTCTTGCTGTCTTTAAGGGCTTGTTGTCTCTAAGGGCTTGATTTTTGAAACCTCTTACAAAACTTTAATGGCGTATAACTTTTGACAGAGTGCTATTTAGCAAAAACGAAAAGCAGATTCAGAATCAGCATGAGCTTAGGCTTAGACTTAGGCTTAGACTAAGAGCTGAGACTAAGAGCTTAGGCTAAGAGCTTAGGCTAAGAGCTAAGGCTTAGGCTAAGAGCTAAGGCTTAGGCTAAGAGCTAAGGCTTAGGCTTAGGCTAAGAGCTAAGGCTTAGGCTAAGAGCTAAGGCTTAGGCTAAGAGCTAAGGCTTAGGCTAAGAGCTAAGGCTTAGGCTTAGACCAAGCTAGGAGCTTTTCTGAACTTTCAAAAAAGTTAAGTGCTTTCTGAACTTTCAAAATCTCATGGAAAAGCTTTCCACAGATATTAAGCCAAAAAAAACTGTGGGATGTTCATGGGAGATCCATTCAATCCATTTCATTTCCCTTTTTTTCCCATCCACCGATCGTCCATTCATTTCAATGAGAGAAAAGAGAAGAAAAAGAAGAAAAGACAACAACCGGTTCTCTTTTTGATTTCTTTTTCCTTTTTTTTCCTTTTCTTTTCCTTACTCACATACAGCAAAAGTGTCAAAAAGGGCGTAAAACTGCACCCATTTTTGGCTCCTCTTTCCCTCTCTTCCCAGACAATTTTGATAATTTTATTTTATTAAATTAGAATATATTTCTTATATCTTTAGATTCTTCTTTATCTATTTATTATTATTTTTCTCAGATTTAAATCAGATTTAAATCAGATTACAGCTTTTTAACCCTTTGTTTTGACTCTGATCCAGTTTTTGGAATGAATGATGCTTTGATGCGAGACTTTGATGAGCCATAAATTGGCTTAGAGATAATATAATTCTAAACGTTTTACAGAGTTTTATAGAAGAGACTTTTGGCTTTTGAATGATATAAATTAAAGCCTGATTGGACTAGCCAATCCAGAGAAAATCAAGGGAAAAGAACGATGGGTTTTCTCTGGATTCCCTAGTTCAATTAAGCTACGGTTCCTATTTTGATCTAATACGGTTCCAATACGGTTCCTATTTTGATCTATTGGAACCGTTTCTATTGGATTGATCTATTGGATAATTGCTATCATTTTAAAGCTTGAAATGTCTTCTATACAACTAAATAAACAGCTAACAATAATATTATCTTTAAACAATGTTATGAGCCTTTAAAGCTTATTCTTTTTCGTCTTTATCTGTCTATTCATTGTCTGTAGAAGAGGCTTTTCTTTTCTTTTCGTACTAGAATTTAAAACCAATAAATAAACCAATTAAACGGTTTATTTTATTAAAAAATTGAAGTATTTGATGAATTTTTGATTTTTCAATTGTTTCAATTGGTTCAATTGTTTCTAATGATTGTTTTTTACAATTCTAAACTTTATAATTTACAATTTTTCAACAAAAGTACCCTAAAGTCGCGAGTATAAGTTCTGTTTGATTTTCGCATGCAAATTGACGGCTGTCTCCGGTGCGGTGTGTCGAGGGTTCGAACCCCGCTGCAGTATAACTTTTTTGCTTTTTAAGAACAATAATAGAAGTAAATTTATTGAGGGTTATAACAATTTTATGCTGTTTGTTGTTGTTGCTTTTTTTTGTTGCTCCGAGCGTGGCTCGGCGCGTCCGCCCTGCTCCTCTCCGGTGCTCAGTCTTATGAATCCCTCCCTGGCCTCTTCATCCGGCCAAAGTCCACGTCGACGGTCGAAAGAGATTTCCAGCGTCTTCCAGATTTTCCAGCGTCTTCTTCAACACTATCTTCTGGATGTATCCATGCACATAACAAATAGCAATGGTGATAGGCTGTCACCCTGTAGTCACCCTGTAGTCCTGTAGGCTGTCACCCGCGCTCCAAGAACAATTATAAAAGTTTATATAACAATAAAAATGTATAAAAACCCAACAAAAAGAAATTCAAAGCAATTAAAGCGAATGTAAATTAAGGCAGAACTTGGATGAACTTAGACTCGGATCAACTTATACTCGAGACTTTAGGGTACGAAGAAAACGAAAAGATTAGAGAGTTTGGATTAAATTCATTCACAAATCTATAAAAACATTCTTTCTATTCTATAGAAAACAAAGAAAGCAATGTTTTTTTTACAATAATACTGACAATATTTATTTATATTTATTCAAATTTTAGATGAATCGCAAGATCACAGCGTGCGGCTTTCTCTATGTGGCGCCGCCAAATCTCGACTTTTCCATTCAAGCGCATACGGCAAAGGTTTTTTTTAGAAATTATTCTAGAAAAATAGATTTATTTATACGAATAATGTGGTACAAACAATACAAAAGTAATGTAGAAAAGAAAAAATCAAGATTTCTGCGAAAAAAGAGCCATAACCCAGAGAGCGGGGTTGAACCATCGATCTTCTGACTATGATACAAGGCTCTTAGCCAGTCGGCCATGGCAACAGCAAATCTAGCATGATTCTTTCGAGTTAAGTAGAGATTCCTGAAACAAAACCCCTTTTTACGAAACGCCCTTGAAAAGGCCAAAAGTGCCGGCGTCGCTTAGTGCCGTAATGGCCGAGTGGTTAAGAGTCTTGTATCCAAGTCGGGAGCTTCGATCATCCATCTGGGTTCGTCTCCGGTTCGAACCCAGCGGCTAGAAAATTTTGCTCTTTTTCCCAAATACAATCTCTGTAACATCTTTAGGGGTACTAGGGCAGGGATTGTGTATTTATTTGTGTCTTTGCTATAGTTGTGTATTTATTTGTGTCACATTCATCGTAAACTTTCGTAATCAAATTTTCAGCGCTGGCAACGCCGATGGTTTACCCTGTTTGACACCGGCGAGCTCACCTATGCACTCGATAATAACGTTTGTTTGAATCAGATTTACATTTTACAATTAGATACAATTACAAATTGCAATTAGATAATGAGATTCGATAGATTTTTTTGGTACTTTGTGCCGAAATCTGTAAAATCACCTTTCTGATGTGTTAAAATGTCGATTTCGATTTAAAATCTCGTTTTTCTCTCGGAAACAGCTAGTTTCGCAAGAAAAATGACGAATTGAGTGCACCAGAAAGATATGTTTAGAGCACTAGAGCACAAAGGACACTAGGAAAATGATTTAAATCGATTTAAGTCGATTTAAGTCGATTTAAGTCGATTTAAGTCGATTTAAGTCGATTTAAGTCTAGCTTTTGCATTTCAGCCAGACACCGTCCCACAATTCGCCGTCGATATGGTGCGATGTCATCGCGTTTGCGAAGCTGACAGCATTACAGGTTAGGTCTAAACATTTACCAAATCTATAAAATCATAATAATTAGATAAGATTTGTTAAATCAATTCAAAGTCCTACTAAAGACATGTGAAAACTTAAATCTAGTAACCAGCAAGTAACTAGCAAGTAACTAGTAAGTAACTAGTAAGTAACTAGTAAGTAACCTTCTATTGAACTTAACTCTCTAGTCCAAAAAGGTCCAAATCGGGTTTCAAAGTGGGTAAAAGAACCCAAAACTACCTAAAATCTACTAATTAGAAGACAAATAATACTAAAAATCTTATAAAAGACTCTAATAGAACGCCATTTCCTTGTACAGTCGCGTAGCCTAACTCTTCAGAAAATCATCTTTTTCTTAGCTTCTAGACTTTTTCCAACTAAACTTTTGATACCAAACAATACTAGATTTCAAGGGCTATCACTTGACACCATGTAGCACACTGTAGCTTAAACCCGTGCGGAGAACGGAACGTTTAAAGTTAGCCTACGCGACTGTACACCCGTCATTATAAAAAGCCGACCGAAAAGCGGAAAGAAGTTGGATGGCACTACGGAGGGTCGAACCCGGACCATGTGGGCTGTAGACCAGCGCCCTCCCACTGCGCCACCGCGACAGTAGACTCCGGCGAGAAAAACCCGGACTTAAACGGGTTAAGGGAACAGCGTTGGGTAAAATTGTTTGAAAGCCGAAAGACCCGTTTAATAGCGGGTTTTTCTAGCTAGTCCAAGTCTTCACGGTGGCGCAGTCAGCAGCGCCCTGGTCTACAACCCACATGGTCCGGGTTCGACCCCCCATACTGGCAATTGATTTTGAAATTTTCAATTTTTTTGCTTTAAATATATTCGACAATATATTCTAAGGTTTTCTAAAGAAGTTTTAGCTTTATCGGTTAAAACACGGCCGAGAAAAAACCCGTACAGACGGACAGATACTATATAGTAGTTTTACGGGATATTGGAACCATATTGGAACCATATTCTATTTTATATGGTTTTTAGGGTATATTATATCCATTTTATATAGTATTTACCGTATTTTACATACATTTTATTCATTTTCCAACTCCAGGCCACACCCACTCAATTCTTTTGGCTTTCCGAGCGGCCACTGATAAAATAGAGGACACCCCGCCAGTTGTCTACATGAAAGCCGATAGTACGGAAGAGATCCGATGGTGAGAATTGTGAAAATCATTTAAATCTATGAAGCCATCCCATAAATATTACTTTTCAATCTCGAATTCTCAGGTGGCAAGGCATGTTGACCCCTTTTGCGAAGGATAATGTGATTTTAAAACCGCGAAAATCGATCGAAACCCTCGAGACACCGCCTAGCTATAAAGTGGTAAGTGAAAGTGGATATTCTTCATATTCTTCTTCTTCTTCCTCTTCTCCTTCTTCTTCTCCTTCCTCTTCTTCTTTATCTTCATATTCTTCATCTTCGTCGTCTTCTTCTTCTTCCTCTCCTTCTTCTTCTTCTTCCCCTTCTTCTTCTTCTTCTTCTTTATCTTCATATTCTTCTTCTTCTTCGTCTTCTTCTTCTTCTTCTTCTTCCTTCTTCTTCTTTATCTTCTTCTACTTCCTCTCCTTCTTCTTCTTCTTCCTCTCCTTCTTCTTCTTCTTCCCCTTCTTCTTCTTCTTCTTTATCTTCAAATTCTTCTTCTTCGTCTTCTTCTTCTTCTTCTTCCTCTTCTTATTTATCTTCTTCTACTTCCTCTCCTTCTTCTTCTTCTTCTTCCTCTCCTTCTTCTTCTTCTTTATCTTCTTCTTCTTCATCTCCTTCTTCTTATCCTTCTTATTCTTCTCATTCTTCTTATTCTTTTCTTTAATTCTTTCTAATTCGTTATAATATTTGATATATTTTATGTTTTATTTTCTATATTATCTTAAATTTTAATTTATTTTATGTATTTTTATGTATTTCTTCTTTAAAATGAACTTTGTATTCAAAATTTGCAAACACACCCGTTCTGGCGCACGGAATTCTTCATTTTCTCAAAACTGGAAGAAAAAAAGAAGAATTGCGTGCACTAGAAAATGTGCGTTTACACTTTTGAGCACAAAGTACAGAAGGAATAGGTCTAATAGGTCTTGGCTTATAGGCTAATTAGGGCTAATAGGCTAATTAGCAATTAGCATGCTAATTAGTATTAGTATGCTTTTAATTAGTATGCTAATTTCTACGGTAAAGCCTCCGCAAGATCTATTGGTTTATCATTTCATTGAAATCATTCAATATCATCTAATTTCCTATCAGGAACCAGCCGCTCCACCGTCCTCAATCCTTTCTCCAAAAATGTGCTCTCCATGCAGTTCAAGAGACTCAAGTCTTGATCGATTGGATGACAGTCGATACGAGGGAACGAGACATGGAACTGGTAATCGATTTGAGAAGATACCATATCAAATACGCCATAGCCGACTGGCTAAGAGTTCTATCGCTTAGTCGGGAGCTCAAGGGTTCAATCCCGTCGACTAGATTATTGGTTTTTCCCTACATTTAAGGCTTACTAGTACCCTTACTAGTACGCCTTACTAGTACCCTTACTAGTACCCTTACCAGTACTAGAACTACCCCCAGCTATCGATTTTATCTCACTTAACAGTTGTGGATTCGGGAATTCTTCGCGTACAACCTATAGCATTAAATCTATGCTGAAGAATATGTTTTTATAAATAGGATTCTAAGTAAACGCAAGCAAAGAGAACCCAAAATATTATTTTCGATTATCTTTCTTTGTTAATTTTCTTTACCTATTAAAAAGAAGGGGAAATGAAAAGAAACAAAATATGTTTGGATTCGTTGAAATCAAAAAAGCCAAGGAATTTGCAAGCCGAGGACTCGAACCCGAGTAGAAAATAGATCGCTCGCTTGTAACCAAGCACCCTATCCGCTAGACCACCATCTCATCTCAACGACCTGCGAGAAAAGCCTTTTAAGCGAGATGCTTCAAACTTGAAAACTTCTATGCTCGTTTAAAAGACTTTTCTGGCACGTCGTCGATGTGAGCTAATGGCCTAGTGGATAAGATGCTTGTATCGAAAACGTGCTATGCATTGTTTACTCGGGTTCGAGTCTCCTCGGCGATTGGCGTCTGGCGGTCGGCGGTGGGTACTTCGTTTAGGGGTGTGCTTGTGTATTGTTTATACCTCATTCGTGTAAATAAATGCATTTAAATCCTTCTTTTTAGTGAGACGAGTCAAAAGAGACAGTGTTCTTTCGAGAGAAACCGAGAAGAAAGCCGAGCCTCAACCCGTTGCCCAAGTCGCAGCCACTCCAGTCTCAAATCCAGTGGTGCAATCTCCCATTGTTGCATCGACGAGACTCCGCGACTCCTCCGAGTCAACAGAGAGCAGCACAGCTCCACCTGGTAATTTAAAAAAGGATTGCTTACCGTAAATACTGTAATAGTACCCCACCCCCATAATGACGGTGCGGAGTGTTGCGTAGTCTAGCTTTGAACGCGTTTTTCTCGACACTGGTTTATGCTACAATGTTCGTTTTGGTTTCAAAAAATAGCCCTGAATTTCAGCTATTTTTTGATACCTATTGTAGCATTCTAGCATAGACCAGTGTCGAGAAAAACGCGTTCAAAGTTAGACTACACAACACTCCGCACCGTCATTATGGGGGTGGGGTACTATTACAGTATTTACGGTAGCCGTTTTTGCTGTCTTTGGCGTCATTATTTGCCCAATTTATGGCCTAGATTTGGCTGTTTTTGGCTGGCTGATTTCTGCTACAAATTCTAGATTCTGCCAAAAAATTGTGTCGCTTAAAAAGTGCTTACCGTATTTTCTGTAATAGTAGTGCAGTCTGGAATAGTAGTGCAGGCTGGAGGGGGGCTTGAAAAAATAGTAGTGCGCACTACTATTACAGAAAATACGGTAACTGAGAGAGTCACGTAGCCAAGTCACTCTCCTAACCAAATCCCCAAATTTCGGAAAAAGTTTCTTTTTTCATAGACATTTGAACCCAAATTCTTTTGTTGCCTATTAAAATTAATATTTTATTTGTTGAATTTGCAAAATGATGTCATTTTTCAGCCCCGCCAACCTCTCAACCGCCTTCTTTGATGGCTGAATCGATCAACTCGCGGAAATTCCAGCCGCTTCCTATTGACACCTCACTCACGCACACTCTGAGAAAGGTTTCTTATCCGATATTTTAAAAGAATAGATTTTTGGATAATCATATAACTAAATTTCAATATCGAAACAAATTTAGGGTTGGTTGATGCTGAGGGGCAAGTCGGACAACGATTGGCACAAACATTGGGTGGTGCTGGCCGGATTATCGCTTAGACTATACAAGTGAGCTTTTTAATAATAAAGCTAGATGTTAGATGTTAAATGTTCAATGTTAGATGTTAGATGTTATGTTCAATGTTAGATGTTAGATGTTAGATGTTAAATGTTAGATGCTAGATGTTAGATGTTAGATGTTATGTTCAATGCTATGTTCAATGTTAGATGCTAAATGTTAAATGTTATGTTCAATGTTAGATGTTAAATGTTAAATGTTAGATGTTAGATGTTAGATGTTCAATGCAAGTTTTCATATCAAAATTTTAATTTTAGAGACGTTTGGGGAGAGGATTCGACCGAGCCATTGCTATCGATTGATCTGGCCGAATGCGAGAACGTCTACCCAAGTGCGTCGGCGAGGAATTACGGGATTGAGATAAAGGTGGGGAAATATTTTTGCGCTTAGCTTCCAATTTCTACCCAGATTGATCGGTTATAAGAAAAATTAGGGCCATTAGAAGCTCCATAAGAAAAAGCGCCTGGCGCGAAGATGCTTTTGGCCATAAAAATTGTTTAAAATGAAGGCTCTGAAGTTTTCAGTGATTTTAAATTAGTTATCAGTGTTTTAAAAAGGTAATAAACTTAGAATGATTACTTTTTGCTTTTGGTCAAATGTTAGTTTTGAACCTAACGACCTAATGGTTCTTAGATTAGGTAATATATTATATTAGATAATATATTAAATTATATTAGATAATAGATTAAATTAGATATTAGATAATAGATTAAATTAGATATTAGATTAAATTAGATATTAGATAATTAGATAATAATATAGCTTTTGTTTAGAAAAGTCTAATTCAATTGCCGTATTAAATATGTTTTATGGAAAATACGAAAAAGTTTACCAACTTTCAAGTTGCTAATCTAATGGATTAAGATTAGATTAAGCCAAGCATTTTCAAAGGATCAGATTCATTCTTGCATTTTGTACCAGGCCGGAATCGTTGCAGAACATGATCAGAAACAGATCCAGTACAGATCCAAAATAACATTTTGAATCTAGTATCTAGCTGTAGGCACTAGTTCCTTATTAGACACCAGACTCAAACAGATCTAATACTAGATTTCCAGAGTTATTGTTAGAAGTTGTTAGAGTTGTTAGAAGATAGAATACCATGATCGGCTAATTCTATTGTAAGCTAATACAAGATAGATGCAATTTTCACCTATCCAAGAAAATTTTACGAATTTAGTGCAAACGAACGCGCTACGTGCTCTCAGCAATGACACCTGGTATCAGAGACTCGTGGATTTCAGCTCTACAACAGGTTTAATTAATCAAGATATGATCAAAATGATAATAATGATAAAAATCAATTAATCAAAACCATTAAAAATGAAATAAACCTTAGCACTCTAAAAATAAGCCTTAGCACTAGTACTATAAAACAATTGTCATCTAGTTCTTTGATACTTTTTGTACCACTGCTTTATTTAGTACAGAATTAAACTGAAATTCAGTGCTCTGACAAACGCCACCTTTCTGGCAGACTCTAAATTTTGCTGTTAATTCAAATTTACATATGAGCCTAAATGTGCATTTGTTAGAACATAAAGTATTTGTGGGGTCCAGGCTTAGATTTTTAAATCTATACAGAAACTTGTTAAAGTCTATAGTTTTTAAAGCTTATATGGTGATAGAAATATATTTTCGATTTAGAATCTCCACGATCCATCTCCATTATATCAAGATACAACGGGTGGAAGTGATGCCATTTCGTTGGCCGACAGCTCAGATGTCCTCGGAATGCCTGTGGTAGGGAGATGTTTCAAGAAAAAAACTGAATCACATTTTCCAGAGAAAGAAACATATTGCTTATGTGGCGCCTGAATCTCATCACTCGAATTCGATGATGGATGAGGAAAGTAGTACAGAGGATGAATTGCAAAGGATTGGAGAACAAAGGAGAACGAGAAGGGATTCGAATAGGTGATTTTGAGGCTAAAACTCCTCGAAACCGTTTGCTAAAACGTGTCAAAAGTCGAAAGCTACCGTTATCTTGTTTCTAATTTTGTCAAAGCTATCGACTTTTGGTATACTTAGTTTGTGATAATATATTAAATTAGGTAATAGAACTGCCCTGCTCCATTCGTGAGCAGGGCAGTTTTTAGAGCCTGTTAACCAGATCCAAATCTGGCACAAAGCCTTTAGGCTTTGAGCCAACTAGGTCAAGCAAAGCTAGGAGCCAGGTCAGACCTGAAAAATTGGCTTTGCTGATCTGACCTGAAACCCTGAAAAGATAGATTTGAGACTTGGCTTCATTGCTGATCTGGCCGGGCCCTGTCCCAAAAATTATCCACTAGATACCTGAAAAGCAAAGAAATACAATAACTCCTAACATTTTATCAATTAAGATCCCTTTCCTCGTGCTCTTCCCGATCTCGTCAAATAAACAATCGTGGCTCTTTGTCTCCATCTATACGACGATCACCAATTGGAAGGATCAAAGAGAGATCACAAGAGGGACGAGTCAGGTAAAAGAAATGTTTTGAAATGAAAATTTGCATTTAACAAATAGCTTTTATTATTAATATAAAGAAATAATAAAATCTTACTGATAAATTAGATTGATTTTTATTGAAGATAAGCCAATAATCATTTCCATTTAGAAATGCATCCAATTCCTCATTGGCCTCATCGAACACAAGTGCAAAGAATCGGCGACGAGTACCGGTTGGTAAACTTTTGAAAAACCACATCTAATAGACATTTCTCGTACTTTGTGCTCTAGTTTAAACCCACCCTTTCTAGCGCACTTAACTCTTCATTTTTCTCTTGTTTCATCAAGAAAAACGGAGATATTCGTGCACCAGAAAGGCACACATTTTGAGTACATTACTGCTTTCTATAAGTTGATCAAAATTTCCATTCTTTATCCTTATTTATTTATTCTTTATCTTATCTTTACTCTTCTTTATCTTATCTTTACTCTTCTTTCTTATTTTCCTCTTTTCAACGAGATCTTGAAAGTTGACGATTTGCCGAAATTCCCCCAGCTGTTCTCGCATCTGGCTCAAATCATCGGGAAACGAAAAAAGTTTTCGCACAAAAAAAGCAATAAGAATACCCAATGGATTATTGCTTTTTCGGGTATTTTGTTTACTCATAGCTTTACCATTGAATATTTTTGGATTAAAGGCTTTACCCATCCTACAAAGCTGAATCACTTTCAGTGAAAATTTCAGCCTAAAGCATAGCTATTATTTGAATCGATTATCAATTGCTTCGCCTTTCTAATCAGAGCAATTCTATGCCAATGAATGTTAAGCTTTCCCTTCCGCTTCATTGACTTTACACTCAAATTCTCATTAGAAAGTTTCGAGGTCAATCAAAGACACTTCATTCTCTTAAAACGGCGAGCTTTGTTTAAGGTTTTGACTTTTATCGATATTTTGTTTTGGTTGAGTTGATTAATTTTGAGCTTACGATGAGTAACCATGCAGGGTAACCAGAAATAACTCGAACAAACCTTTTTGACTCGATCTTCACATGGATTAAATAACCTTTACCTTTAATACCTTTAAAAATCGTTAATTAGACACTCTTAGTAACTTAAATCGAAAAGATTTCGGTGCTAAGTTGTATCAATAAGTTCTAGGAGTTGAAAGAAGTTGAAAGAAACCCTCTGACACCGTTGCTCTTTTTGCACAAACACGCTTCGTTCTCGACAGATTTTAAATAAAATAGCATATTTTTAACTATGAATTGCTAAATTTGAAATTATCTTTTATATAAGACCATTTTTGGCATCAGAAATTTTTCTAAAACCGTCTTGTCTTTGAATTCCGAACTCTAGGGTTTCTTTGTCTCAACGCCAGGCTTCTGTATTGTTATTTTTAAAAGCCCCTAGCATGACTGGCTCATTGGCATTTAACTTTAAGACAAGCATCGGTTCATGATCTGGCTTTTATAGTGAAACACGATCTGAGGAGCCAGAACCCAAAGCTAGGACTTGAGTTCTGATTTGTATTTTCTTGACTAGAGTCCAAGCTAAACCAAAATCAGAGTCCTGTCCTGGATTTTAAAAACTTTAAGCTAAAAGATTAGGATCAGTTGGCTTTTTGGCTTTTTGGCTTTTTGGCAGATCAGTTGACTTCACATCAATTCAGCCCTTGTCAGACCAAAGCAGCTTTTGAACTAGCCAGCAAGAAGAAAAAAAACCGGAACCAGTCTAAACCAAATCCAAGTTCTACATAGCTTTTGTCCAATACGTTTAAAAATCTATTCAATCAATATTTTATTCAATGGCAAAAAGTGGAGCATTTACTTGGGGATTTGATTCTTTTTTCTGCAGATTTGATTCTTTCTCTTTCTTTCTCTTTCTCTTTCTCTTTCTCTTTCTCTTGATTCTTTATTTCTCCTAGTTTTATCGGATTTGGGTCAAGCGGTGAGTATGAATGGACGAGTAAATCGATCACTTTCTGGCTTTTCCTACAACTTTTTTTTACCCTTTTTACTTTTCATCCAAAACTTTCCCAAACATATCTATTCAGTTTTCTTCTATCAAAAATCCGTTTATTTGTCTTTACACCCCATAAAGATTGCCTAGATTTTATTGGGAGTGGTCGTAAAAAGGAAAAAAGATCCGAAATTTCTCTTTTATTCAAAGCAATCATTTCAACAACTAATAAGTGACTTTTTAATCGTACAATTAGATTATTCATTTACATTAATCTTAAATTATTTATTTAAAAGTTTAAACAAATTAAACTCGAGTTTTGATTGATGGACTTAATAAAATGAATGTCTTCAATCGATTGCCCGATCCCGAAAACCCTCGGGTGCAGATTTACAGCCAAATATCGTCTTTTTGAGCTATCTACACAAAGCAAGAGAAATCTCTAGAAGTGTCCTTTTTGCGTTCTATGTACTGCCGCGTAATCGCTCTTGATCTGGCACACGCTCCTGATAGATAGGTGTTTCCTTTATACGTGCCGTTTCCCTAATTAAATCCCTATTTAATCACTGGCTGGTGTTCTTTGTGAGGTTATTAGTTTGAGAACAATTTGAGCTGACTCGAGAGTTTTTTCTTCGGCTTCTTTTAGAATGGGATACTATTAATATCTTGTGGGTTCTTTATTTTCGAATTTTCCTAGAATCCGATTTCACCAGCCTTGAAAATCAGGCGGAACTAGGCTCAAAAAAGCGTGCGAAAATAGGCACATGTGCCATTGGAGGGAAACTTTTCTCCAAAAAGACAAAAATCTGGTCCACTTTTTGTCGTGAACAGATCTGAAGAGGAAAAGAAAGGAAAGAGAATGGGTGTGTACACAACTCATAACATTCTCCCATCTCTTTTCCTTTCCTTTCCTTACCTTTTTATAGCCATAACCTTCTCTTTGCAAAATTCTGAGGTGAAATCTGATAAAAATCGCATCGAAAAATCTTTGTTGACACCTCTCTTTGATCTTTTTTTTAAGAAAACTTGCAACAATCCACTTTTTTTACCTTTTGAATGATAGGTTTTGGATTTGACTGATCAAATGATCACTGAGAATGACTGATCTTCTTGTACTTTAAGATTGAAAATGTAAACGTTCCCTTTCTGATGCACTTAATTTGTCAGTTTCTTTTCGTTTTCCCCTCTCCGAAAATTTTCTACTTTTTCTTTTTTCTTCACTTCACTTGATAAAGTTAGTGTCAAGTAGAAAAGAAATTTTAATTTGAAATATTCTAAAACAAAACAAAACTTAATCTACCGTAATCGTTTTCATTTATGAACCAACACCTATCAGTCTTTTAGTTAAAGCTAAACACTGATAATTTTTGGTTAAGTGATTTTCTACTAGCCGTCTATGTGACTTTTTATTAAAAATTTACATTTAAAACTAACATAAGTAATAGATTTTCTTCATCTAAAAGTACCGTTTTTCAATCATTTTCTTCTCATTTTTTTTTGCTTTCAAATTTTCGAATTCTTGATCAACTTATAGAAAATAATCAAATTTTGTGATGCCGAGAATGGATGTGAATAGAAATTATGTCTACAATTTCCCTGTAAGTCATTTTTTTGTTTTTTTAGCGAGCTTCTCCAAAACAGAGTGTTTCTGCTGAGATGAGAATTCGATCGTTGGAGGCTCAGGTTTTGAAAGAAATTTGTTTGCTATTGGGTTGGTGAATTGAAAACTGCGGGCTATTGTCTTAGGTAACAGTTTGAGCACTTTCTTCAAAAGAAACCCATTTTGGTGTCAATGGAAAAGTTGTAGAGAATCAAAAATCAAGCTTATATCCAAATTTTCAGAACGATTCAAAAACTGGTTTTCAAGAAATGCGAAATTTACGAATTTTCACAAAACTTGCATTTCACAAAACATTTTAAGCGAAACTACTAAGTGTATCTTTTTGGAAATTTGGCTATAAGCCTAATTTTTGATTCTCTACAACTTTTCTATTGACACCAAAATGGATTTCTTTTGAAGAAAGTACTCAAACTGGGACTCCAGATCTCAATCTCCAGTCCTCCATTTTTGAGTCTCACACTTGTCTCACACACAAACCAAAATCCTACCGCGAAAGAGGAAACCGCAAATTGCCTGTAAAATGGGCAGAAGTCGTCAATAATAATGGAAATTATTTGGAATCAATTGATGGTTTTATATTGAATAAATTTTAGTTCAAAGTCCCGCAGTTTTTCATTCACCAACCTAATATAAAAGAAAAGAAAGAAAATATATTCAGTTCCATTTTTCAGTTTTCAAGCATTAATATTCAATAGAATAAATTTCTTTTGATTAGGTGTCTTCTCTGCGTGAACAACTCCAAGAGACTTCATCAAGATTGACGGAGAGTCGATCGGAGAGTGACAGATTGAGACATATGTTCACTGGAGTTGATGTAAGTGCAAGAGACTTTGAAAAGTGAAAATTTATGCCTTACCAGGGCTTGTAGAAGGCTCAGCTTAAAGCGTAGTGTACTTTTGTACTCTTTGTACTTTGTACACTTTTAAACACATCCTTTCAAGCGCACTGAACACTTTTCTCTCGACATCAGATTATTTGCTATAAGAATTTATGAATTTCTGACAAATTCTTCACTTTCTCGAGAAAACAAGTCATTCTGCTAGAGAAACGAAGAACTCAGTGCACTAAAAAGAGTGTGTTTAAAAATTTGAGCACAAAGTACAGGTTAAATGTCTTACAAATAGTACAGAAAGGTTTTGAAGTGGAAAAAAGCTAAGACAAGTCAAAGCTAGATTGTCTAGTTCAGATTTCCTTATCCAGTAGCTTGCTCTGTATGAAAAGGCCAATAATCCAACCCTAGTCTAGATAAAAAAGCTAGTTAAAAACCTTATCTAGGCTGAATTTGAATAGAAATCATGATAGATACCGTAAATCTACTATATCTGTCTGTCTGGCATTTTCTCGACCGTGTTTTAACCAATAAAGCTAAAACCTCATTAGAAAACTTTAGAATATATTGTAGTTATGGAATTTAAAATACAAAACTAAAAACTCATGATTGAGCGCCACTACCGGCGGTCGAACCCGGACCACATGGATTTTAGACAAGCGCGCTGCCGACTGCGCCACGGCGACACAAGCGTCGAGACCAGAAAATCCGCTTTTAACCGGCTTTTTCGGCTTTTCGGCCTCCTTAATGACGAGCGTACAGTCGCGTAGTCTAACTTTGAACGTTCCGTTCTCCGCGCTGGTTTAAGCTACAGTGTGCTACATGGTGTCAAATGATAGCCCTTGAAATCTAGTATTTTTTGGTAACAAAAGTTTAGTTGGAAAAAGTCTAGAAGCTGAGAAAAAGATGATTTTCTGAAAAAGAATTAGACTACACGACTGTACAAGGAAATGGCGTTCTATTAGAGTATTTACGGTACTATAGTAATCAAAGCATCTAAAATTTCAGCCAGCCAACCTCTCAGCTCTCAGAAAATCGCTCTCAGCAGCCGAATCGGAGATCACGAGACAACAAAAGGAAATGGAAACTTTGAGAAAACAATTCTCTTCACCGACATCAGAACAATTGTAAATATTAAGATTGAAATCGATTTTAGAATCTTTAATTAAACATTTAATCAAATTTTTTAGGATTTCCTGTTTCCAAGATCGTCTAATTTCGATGCTCAAAGTGCAAATGGGCGCTTTGTCAAAGTTCAATATTTTCCTTGGTATGTTGGAAAAAGTTATTCAGATAAAGCTTTGAATTAACACAAAAGGCTTCCCCTAGTGTACTTTGTGCTTATTTGTCTAAACACAACTTTCCTGGCGCACTGAAATATTTATTTTTCTCTAAACACTGAAGTATCACAAGAGAATGAGGAATTCAGTGCACTAGAAAGCTGTAGCTGTAGAAAAGCTGTAGAAAAGCGTAAGCTGTAGTGTAAGTGCTGTAGAAAAGCACCAGAAAGTATCGTTTTTAACACAAAATACACGTCAAAGCCATTTCCATATGTTTATTTTATATTCCAGGAAACAATGGCGATGTTCGTGATGAATTGGACGAGTTGATGACGTCACTTTCGAATATCGATCACACCAATAAGGGAACAGCATTGGGTAAATTTATTTGAGTTGAAATAACCTGTTTAAAAATCGGGTCGGTCGGACGCGGAGTCGAACCCGGATCGTGTGGACTGTAGACCAGCGCGCTCCCTACTGCACCACGACCACGAAAAAACTTGGCGAGAAAAAACGGGTTAAACGGGTTAAGAAAGAAAAGCATGGGGTAAAATTGCTTGAAAGCCGAATAACCTGGTTAAGGGCGGATTTTTCTAGCTTGGCTTTGTCGTGGTCGTAGTGCAGTCGGAAGCGCGCTGGTCTAGAGCCCGCACGGTCCGGGTTCGACCCACCGCAGTGCCATTGAATTTCGATTTTTTTTATTTTTCTTTATTTTCAAGCTTTAGGTGATGACGATTGGGATTGTTTACAACGAATCATTGAGGAGACAACGCTTCTCTACGATAATGTGGCTAATAGTGTGAGAAGAAGGAGAACAAAAGAGGCTACAACTAATACGGTAAAATATAGATCCCGTTTAATTTTGATTTAAAATTGGTGAATGATAATAGGAGGTATTTCCGTGTCTTCCTTGTCTTACGTATTTCTTCTCGATCAAAGAAAGCCCTGATAGCTTAGTGGTAAAGTGTTTGGCGGGTAGGCGGAAGATGAAGGTCGAGGGTTCGATTCCCCATGGTTCCAAATTCTTTGTCATTCGTTTTTTGGCTTTATTTTAGTGCTCTTGGCATTATTGACTATAGTTTGAGCTAATTTGAGCCTAAATTCTGCAAATTTAAAGTGAAAAAAAGAGAAGAAGAAAGGGTTTTCGATTTCCCCATTTGAATGACTTTGAATGACTGATTTGAAGGATTTTTCTTGAGTCTCAGTTATTCTAATCTCAATTTTAACCTCAAAACTTGACTGGTTATACTAGTTATACTAGTTTGATCGCTTTTAGGAAGACGCATGGATCTCTTCGGAAGAAGAAGAAGGAGTTTCGGATGAAGATGATGATATTAAACAAGAACATGAATGGGAAGCTGAATTGACGGCTGTTAAGGTGAATTTCTTGACTTTTCGCTGTCAATTTCGCTGTCAATTTAAATAGCTTTTGTATCAATCGACAGAGAAAGACTTGACGCATCCAATGATATTAAAAACATTTAAATTGAACAACTCAACACCAAGATATTTAAGTTCAAAGTTTTGCCAATTTGTCAATGGCAAAATGGTGTTTCAGATGTCCCACAGAGGCTTTTAATGTCAAAAAGTGATCATTTCAATTCATTTCAATTCATTTCAATTCAACTTTGTTCCAGAACACTCATCAAGGCGAGATCGAATCACTGAGAATGCACTATGAACATCAATTGAAAGGCGTTAGAGAAAGGATGGAACATGAAGAGATGGGAAGAAGAAGGGCACAGGATGAGCTCAAGAATTTGTCGGTGAGTTGACAGTTAAGAGTTTAGCTGACAGTTTAGCTAAACTTAACTAAACTTAGCTAAACTTACAGCTAATAAACTCGTGTAGATGTCGTAGCCGATTATGAATGCGTGGGTATAGGAGCGTCCAACCATCAAGTATTTAGTATCATTCAACGCAGAATCATTGATAATTATGTTAAATTTTTTAAATTAGAAAGATTGGATAAAAAGAACACAAATTATGGGGCTTCAAAGTTTTCTCTTTGAACAAACAGTTTTTTGTTCTAATTTTTTTTCTTTTGATCAAATCTTGCTAATTCTAAAAATTTAACATAATTATCAATGATTCTGCGTTCAATGATACTAAATAATACTTAATGGTTGGGCGCTCCTAGACCTAGACCTAGACCTGGACCTAGACCTAGACCTGGACCTAGACCTAGACCTGGATCTAGACCTAGACCTAGACCTAGACCTGGATCTAGACCTAGACCTAGACCTGGACCTAGACCTAGAGCGTCTAGACCTAGACCTGGACCTAGACCTAGACCTGGATCTAGACCTAGACCTAGACCTAGACCTGGATCTAGACCTAGACCTAGACCTGGACCTAGACCTAGACCTGGATCTAGACCTAGACCTAGACCTGGATCTAGACCTAGACCTAGACCTGGACCTAGACCTAGACCTGGATCTAGACCTAGACCTAGACCTGGATCTAGACCTAGACCTAGACTAGACCCACTCATTCATAATCGGCTACGAGGGTCCCGCCGATTTTTAATGAAACGTTGTAGCGCCGGCAATTTTTAACCTAAACTCACAAGTTTGGTACCAATCGACGCAGAATTGAATTCGCTACAAGATCATATAATATTGTCCTCATACATTAAAGGGTTGCTCTACTAGAAAGATTTGCCAAAAAATTTCATTCATAATCGGTTACGATATATATAAGTAAAGTTGTTATCGATTTTGTCAACAAATATCAATTCGTTGTTTTTCAGTCGATGAACGATCAATCTCTAAACTCTGTGCGCAATTCATATGAAGAGCTGCTCGAAGAGCAAAGACGACAATTCGATGATGAAATTGAAAGATATCGAACGGAACACGCGAAAGAGTTAGCTGACGAGAAACAGGCGACAAGGTTGGTGAAAAGAACTTTAGTAAAACTCCGATAGATTGACAAATGACGACCTGTCGACCGTGACGACCATACTATAAACTATTTTAACTTGCTTCAAATCTGTTTTATTGTCATGATCTATAGCTCAAAAGATAGAGAATCTCAAGAGCTTTCGAATGGACTAAAGGGCACCAGCTTTTGAATTTTTGAAAACACCAGCACGGGTATTTTGAAAGAATCCGGTTCTTTAAAAAAAATCCGGGTTTCTCAACGGCTCGTCACGCTTTGAAAGCCTATAACTTTGTCCAGAGATCATCTTTTTGTCAACTTTTTATATCATTGGAAAGAGGATATTTCAGACTTTCAAATGATACCAAATAGAGCTTGATTGGATAATCCAGTCCAAAAAAAATCAAAGCCAACTCTGAGCAAATGAGACCTATCCTACTCGGGTGTCGTGTCGCCTTGTTTGCATGGGAATGAAAAGTCCAATCAAGCTCTATTTGGTATCATTTGAAAGCCTGAAATGTCCTCTTTCCAATGATATAAAAGTTAGCAAAAATATGCTCTCTAGACAAAGTTATAGGCCTTCAAAGTGTGACGAGCCGTTGAAAAACCCGGATTTTTTTAAAAGACCCGGATTCTTTCAAAATGAAGCAAGTTAAAAGCGTTTTCAGTTTACGTTTATAGCTTATCAAAATAGATAACGAATAGGTGCAAATTATAGACGCTAAAATGTTTAGAGTGGCTCTGGAAGCGGTGAGAAGAGCGCACGAGGAGGAGATCCGACAAATCGGAGAGAAACCCCGACCAAGTGTCAATCCAGATGCACAACGGGAAAGAGAACAAAGACAAGGGTCAGTGAAAATGAAGAATTCAGAATTCAGTGCAATAGAAAGCCTGTGTTTTACCGTAATCCTAATTTGCTCTATTCAGAAAAATGATCGAACAAATGCGAGACGAGTTGACGAATCTCTCAGCGCTCTACTCGGCGAAATGCATCGAAAACGCGCAACTCGACGAGAGAATCGGCGCGATTCTTGAGGGAAAAGAACGGTTTGTGGAAACGATTGAGAAGATCTATTGAATAAGCTCTAGATTTATCTATTGGATCTTAAGCTCCATATTTTGTGGATCAATCAGATTCCTAGATAACCTAGATTTATCGTGTCGCTTAGATTTCTAGAAAACCTATTGCAACCGCCTACAAAAGGCTCAATTCGATGCACTGCTCCAATACCAATTTCGTTAACTTTAATTGATTCCAGCGCTTAAACAACAATCCTATTTACTGTTAGATTCATCCTAGTAAACAGCATTGTTCTGGACTGGCTTTGCTTTACTGTAAGCCTGACTTCACTACAGGCTTTGTTTGCACTAGGATATAAAGGATCTTTCAGTCCCTAAGCCTAAGAAAGACGAGCTTCCGGGGCTCTTTCTTGGCCTGATTACAGCAGGATCTAGGTCAGTCAAAAGCCTTACAGATTGGAACAATCTTGCCACTAACTATTAGTACAAGCCTCTAGAGTTAAGAGTCAGGATCAGTGCTTTAGCCAAGCCCGGACTGGAGTCTGAGTCTGTAGCAACAGCTACAGTAGCCAAGGACAGCTACAGTATCCCAATAGCAGTTTGCAGCGCTACAGTAACCCTAGGGAAACTACAGTACTTTATAAAGCTGCTAGCGTACCCCCTGAGAAGCTACAGTAACCTTACAGCCTGTGGAACAGTTACAGTATCCCTCAAATGGCTATAGTACCTACAACAAGCCTACAGAGGCTACCGTAACCCTAGGAAAGTTACAGTAACCCTAGGACGGCTACAGTACTCCAGTACTCCGTTAGAAGCTACAGTAACCCTAAGACAGTTACAGTAATTCCTAGAACAGTTACGATAACCCTAGGACAGTTACGGTAGTCCCTGCAACAGCTACAGTATTCTGGTACTTCGTTAGAAGCTACAGTAACTCTAGGTCAATTACAGCAATCTCTAGAACAGTTACAATAACCCTGGGACAGTTACAGTAATCCTAGGACAGCTAGAGTAATCCTAGGGCAGTTACAGTAATCCTAGGACAGCTACAGTAACCCTAGAGACAGCTACAGTAACCTATGTAGCAAACCAGAAAGCGCTAGCTACAGTACCCCAACAGCCAATAATCCCAGATCAGCTACAGTATCATCCACAGTACTAGACTAGTTGTCAGACCCATGAGAATCTAATGCCAATGGAATCTAGTGCCTTTATTCGAAGACTATACTTGTGAGTCTTTTTCCGGTCAGTTTCAAATGCAAATTAGAGATTTCGCTGGGAAAAGTGGCACATTTACTTGAAATTTTTCTTGAAATCTTAGATTTTTTCCATAGTTTTTGCATAGTTTTTTGAATTTCAGTGAAACAAAGGAGGAAACGGAGCGTCTCCGTGCCGAGCTTTCTCTCAAAGAGACCCAAATCGAAGAGCTTCGACGCCGAATCGCGCATTTAGAGAGAAAGCTCAACGATGAAGGGCAAATATCTTCAGGTTTTCAATGTTAAATCAAAATTTCGAAAATTCATTTTTGTTTAAACTAAACAAATCTCTTTGGTTTTTTTTTTTTTCTTTTCTTATTTTCGAATTGCAGAACGAAAACGATCGATTTCGCGGTGAGTTTTCTGATTTGTAATGAGAGATTTTCCCCTGTTTTCTTCCCCAAAAAACAACAATCCCTTTGTTTTTCGAAAGCTTTATACCATTAGCGCATTTAAAACTTGAAATCAAGAGCTTTTGAGCTTTAAAAATTGGTTTAAAGCTTTGGCTTAAAGCTTTGGTATAAAGCTTTGGCCTTTTTGGCTTTTTGAACTTTTGGACTTTTTTTTGAATGATTTAACGCATGTCGAGTGGTGTGCTGGCGATTTTTTTTCATTTAAAAACAATCCCCTTTCCCTTTATAACCTCTTAAATTAGCATTTAAGCGTTGTAAAGACGATTTTTTGATATCTGTATTTCTCTTTTTTTACCAGCTAAAGCGTCCAAAAAACTGTGAACTCTTGACAAAGTTTTTCATTCGATAAGACCCCATTTTATGAAAGCTATTCAATATCTAAAGCTATATTCAGTACACTAGCAAAATTGAAAGTAAAATGCAAAAGAATTGGAAAATTTTTGAATCAAAAAGCGAAAGAATTAGCGGCAAGAGGAGTCGAACCCGCGACCTCGCTCTTCCGTTCGACTGAGAGACGCGCGTGTTAGCCACTCGGCCACGCTCAACGGTCGTCGGTTGAGAGAGACCGTGGATTCGACTCCTCTTAATGGTCGGCGGTCTCAATGGCCACTTAATGGTCGACGGTCTCAATGGTCGCCGTGGCTCAGTGCGAGCGCCCTCGCCTCTGGCCCACACAACCCGGGTTCGACTCCCGCCCGCGTCTATACTTTTAATTTTTTGAAAATTTTAAAACAAATTGCTTAACTAAATGAAATTCTAAGGCAAACTAACTATAAGTTATTTGAAACGGTCCACTGGGGGCTGAGGAATGGACAGACAAGCTGAAGAGCGATCGACTATCGAAGACTATCGAAATACAAACCTGAGACTTTACAGTATCTTTAAATGCTAATTTTAACTTTACAACCTCTTTAAATGCTAATTTTAAGTTTACAACATCTTTAAATGCTAATTTTAACTTTACAGTATCTTTAGAAAGCCACAACTCCTCTATATGGTGTACTTTGTGCTTAAATCTCTAAACTCACCCTTTCTACTGCTTCTTGTGTTCATTTTCTTTCAATTTCTTCTAGTTTAAAAGTTTTAGTGCACTAGAAAGGATTTGTTTACAGAATTAAGCACAAAGTACACTAGAAATAACGAATTTCTCTCATCAATTAGCGTTTTTTTGTGACCTTAAAAGTGTCACCTTTTTAAATGAATTGAGAGAAAATAAGCAGAAAAACAGAAAAAGAGAAAAAAACCGCTTTCCTTCAGCTTTTCCTTGAGCTTTTTCCTTGTTTGTTTGCTTTATTTAACCAAAATCTTTCCCTGAAATGATTTAATTTTTCAAAAAAAACTTCGAAAATGTTTTTGTGCTCAAAATTGTAAACAAAAAAAATCATTTCTTGCGCAATGAATTCGATGACTCTTTACACTTTCTTGTAGAAATCTTGTAGAGAAATCAAGGAATTCAGTGCGCTAGAAAGGTGCGTTTACGAATTTAAAGCACAAAGTACACTCTGAAAAACATTTGAAATCTTTCAGACAAAGAAGAAATCAGTACGGACGCGCGCTCAGCGCCTCAACTCCAGCAAATGGCGCAACAGATAAACAGCCAAGGAATGAACGGATCACAGTCACCGGTCAAGTTTAGAAAAACGCCGACAACGAGGAGGACTGGTAAGGAAAAGACAAAAGACAAGAATACGCTGCAATCCTATTTACATTTATGAACAATTGAGAGGTTCCACGGACTGCTCTTTGTTCGGCCCGATAAACGCGCGCTAACTGGCACATTGACAAAGAGGGGTCATAAAATCTCCACGGACTGCTCTTTGTTCGGCCCTATAATCGCGCGCTAACTGGCACACTGTCAAGGAGGGGCTTATAAAATCTCTAAAAATCTGCACGGACTGCTCTTTGTTCGACCTGATAATCGCGCGCTAGCTGGCACACTGTGAAAGAGGGGGTTATAAAATCTCCAAAAAAAAGCGAAGGTGAAAAGCGATGATTATTAACACATTCAACTCATGAAATTCTGTGATTTCAAAGTTCAATGAGCTTTTTGCTTTGATTAAAACTAAAATGGAGTTGGGTAAAATAATCCTTTAAGAAAAAGTACCAGCCGAAGCCTTTAAAGCATCTTAAACAGGCTTGAAGTCATTTCAAAACCCCTAAAGCATTTTATTCTACTGTTGTTCAGTTATTACTATTTACTTTTTCATAAAAATCAATTCTTTTTCTAGAACATTTTTTATGAAATGCTCTGTCTCCTGGGAGCGCAAAGATCGCAAAGATCGATTTAAGCACGCAGAAACCCATGTTAATGTCAAGAGAAAGAAGATAGAGCACAAAAAGTATATAGCCAAATTTTGTATATAGCGAAATTTTTTGGATAATCTGGAGAATATTCGATTTCTTTATGGGAGTTTTTGTAGAATTTTGCGAAAAACTAGCTTTCACACTTGAATTTACTTGAAAACAAGCTTGAAATAGGCTTGAAATGATAGAAAAATCAACACAAAACATCGTCTATTTGGAGGAAACTGTAGTTCAATCGACTTTTGATCAATTTGAGCAATTTGATTTGAGCAATTGATTCAATGATCTTTGTCAATTGACTTACAAGGGAATCATCCAAACTCCAAACGTTTCATGGTATTTGTTTGTTTATCAAAAAAGTCCTTTTTCAAAGAAATTTGTCAGTGCCGGGACCCGAACCCACCGGGATAGTTTTCTAATCCGACGCACTATCCCCTAGGCCACCGCTGCCCTTGCTCCCGTCGCTTGTGACGCGGTCTTATTAGCTAGGGAGCGGTCGTGGTCCTGGTCAAAAATTGTTGGAAACTTTATTTTTCTCATCTTTTTTCCCATTTTTCTCACCAGGATTTTAATTTGAGTAAAAACTGAATAGATATTTGAAATGCCCACTGGCGTTTGTCCTCCAAACTTAATCACTTTTTGTTACTTAGAAAGGACAAGGGAATGATCCAAACGATCCAAACGAGTTTCAGGATAAGACTTGGTCATGAAGCTAATAAATGAAGCTAATCATACAATTGATAATCATAAAATGAAAACAAATCAATTTGCAGATACCCGTTTCCACTCAAATCCTTGTGTTCGTGCCGTTGAAGCGATCCCGTCATCAGTTGTTGAGGAGACAAGACGATCCCTTGCTGCCTCACTTCCTTTACCCGTTGCTGAGAGGCGGAAATTCTTTGAGACCATTGCCGAGTACAGTACTCCTTTTTAAAATACAGTACTCATCACTGTACTGTACAGTACTGTCAAAGTATCGTATATAGCCGTTTATTGTATTCGGAGTACTGCACCAAGTGCCCCAGTATCGATTGTTTTCAAGTACAGTACTCCATTTCGACTCACAGTACAGTTTTGTAACGGAAACTAGGGCAGATCATGCACCGCTGGGACTCGAACCCGCGACCTTTCGCTTACCGGGCAACTGTGCTAGCCATTACACCACAACGCGCCTGGTCTCCCTTACTCTAGAGTGCATCAATTCTTGTATCGGAGTACTCTACTTTACTTACTTTTTTAATGTACAGTACCCTTTGTACAGTACAAAGTACAGTACCCTTTTGTACAGTACAACGCACAGTAACCCTTTGTACAATACAACGTACAGTACCCTTTGTACAGTACAACGTACAGTACTCCTTGTACAGTACAACGTACAGTAAGCTACAGTATACTGTACTTTTCAACCTAAAGTACTGTACCTTTAAACCGCTTTCTAAAGCTAAAGATTTCTTTTTAACGTACTGTACTGTAACGTCTTTTTAACGTACTGTACTGTACTTTCTTGTACGAATTATTCTACTTTTCAAAGTAGAATACTACTATTCAACTTCCCCCAAATTCCCCCATCTCTTCGGTGTATTTTACGCTCAAATTTTTTGAAACTACGCAAAATTTCTATAGTACAAATCGTCTTTTTGTCTTTTTTTGTCTTTTTTTGGCTACTTATTACTGATGAGAATTGACGCAAAATCTTAAATTTTATATGCAAAATGAGATTTCTTTTGTTTTTCTCTCTCTCCTGAATCCCAGAATCACACACAAAAATGAGTGCTTTCGCGATTTGGTTTTCCCATTGATTGAGCCAAAGATTTGTTTGTGAATTTTTTGTGTCATTTCTTTGTCATTTTTTTCTCGTTATTCTATAGTAACCCTAAACGTGGTTACGATTTTTCATCTTTTTCTCCTCTTCTAGTATCTTTTTGTGTGATAATTTGATCGATTTTATCGACTTTTTTCTATTTTACACTACATATCTGTACAAAGAAAGCGATTGAATAAAGATTTTTATGTTTTTCGTTTTATTAATCGTTAAATACAATGGATTTATTGGCTTTAAAGGTCAAGAGATAAAATTCTGCAAAACGGACAGACGAAAAAAAGCCAAAGATCAAAAGGTAAAGCTAGATCGAAGAGCCTGTGACTCTCATTGGATCGGAACGTTTGATTTTCTATAAATTGATGGCAGGAAGGTCCTTGGGTTCTTGGAAAATGATTAACGCTCCTCAAAAGATTTGATGTAACATAAGCCGATCAGAGAATTGAGCTTGAGCTTGGCTTTCAATTGAGCTTGACTTGAAATTTCAAGCCTTTCCATTACATTTGCCAAATTTCGTTTGAAACCTCGGCTTTAACTTTGCTTCGGCTAGAAATTTGACTTTTTTTGCCAAGCCTGGACATCAATACCTAGACTAAACTCATCTTTACCAATAACTTTCCTGTTAGAGTACAAAATGAACGATGTTTTAGCCCCAAATCAAGCCTAAGCTTTGTCTAAGATCTTTGACCCTTTGGCCTGGAAACTTGTGTATCCCTATTGAATTTTAAACCCCATTGAACGCTCCAATAGATCGTTCAATAGGGTTTAAAAACTAGCAACATTTAACGATTTTCCATTTTTGAATGCATTTTTCCTAAAATTTCTTGTTAAAAACTAGATTATAAAGAGAAAATTCTCAGGGAAAAGGGGAAATTCGATGAGAATACGATGGGAAATTTGAAAAAGAAAAGCAGAGAAAAAGCACGAAAAACTTCAATTCTTCTCACTTTCGAAATTTATTGATGAAAATGATTGGAATCTTTGTCTTTCTCAAACTTTCTCAATTAGGTAATGGAGTTATTTTGAGTGATTTGAAGCACGGTTTAGCTTTGACAACATGTCCTGATACGCAAGTGAGCACACCGTGTGGATATGTGAATGTTTTCTGGGATTGCGGACTAGCGAGCACAAGTGGTGGGTTTTAAACTGGATCTAAAACGTTTCAACGTTTCAAAACAATCGTAATTCTGTTCTAGTTTTTATCCAATCTCTATTTCTATCTAATAGTTTGTCCCAGTCTTATATCTCGTTACAAGGACCACTAAATTTGCTCTAAATAATGCAGAAAGAAAGTTAGATTGGTTCAAGCACCTCGGAACACACTCTAATCTAAACTGAAGGTCTTAAACTAACTAATTAGTTAGTAACTAACCCCCTTTAGACTTACTAAACCTTTTCTAAAATGATTTGACACGAAATTCAAAACGAAATAGGAAGAATCGTAACATCAAGAATAACAAGATCGCGCCGTGACATTATTTAGATTTGCGTTTTAGTTAAAAGGAATTGGTGGTACTTGTGGAGTATCCGGGGGGGTCTTTCAATATCCGGGGGGGTAAAATTTTAAGATCCGGGGGTAAAATTTTATATACGTTATACACGACCCCTTTTAAAGATATTCAGCCGCTTAAGTGATTTGGTGGCAATTTCCCTTCAAATGTAAAGATATTCAATTTATTGAGGTGATTACTTGATTACGTGATTCGAGGTGATACTCGATCAAAAACGTAACTTCTACAAAATTTTTTTATGTCATTATTAGAAATGTTGATAATATCCTAGTTGGCGGCAAACATTTTCACACTAAATTGATGAAATTCTATTTAAAACGCTAAAATTAACGCAAAATGATATAAGTTTAAAGGTTTAAGTTTAAGGGTTTAACAAAAGGTTAAACATTTGCCTCAAGAATTTTATTTTTAGTTACAAAGCCTATGTAAATGTAAAAGTAAATGTAAAATTTCACGGAATTTGCGTTAATCTATTGATCTTTAGACCATTAATCAGATCATGAGCAATATTTTCGTTCTTCTTTTAAACTCTGAAAGCGATAGGTGCAAAAGATTGATAAAAGTAGCAGAATGGTCAAAAAGTAAAAAAAAAGTATAAAAAAGTTAAAATTTTACCCCACCGGATCTTAAAATTTTGCCCCCGGATCTTAAAATTTTACCCCCCGGATATTGAAAGACCCCCCCGGATACTCCACAAGTACCGGAATTGGTTAAGTTGAGTTAAAAGTTAAAAGGAATTGGTTAAGATAGCATGTGTGAACATGCTTTAGTGTTTTAGTTAAAAGGAATTGGTTAAGATAGCATGTGTGAACATGCTTTAGTGTTTTAGTTAAAAGGAATTGGTTAAGATAGCACGTGTGAACATGCTTTAGTGTTTTAGTTAAAAGGAATTGGTTAAGATAGCATGTGTGAACATGCTTTAGTGTTTTAGTTAAAAGGAATTGGTTAAGATAGCATGTGTGAACGGATTCAAAACAATGGAGTGGAAAGGGCCGAAAAGAAAACGAAATAAAACTGTACTAGAATTTTAAACAACAAATTATGGGCAAAAAATATAAAAAGAGGGAACGAACGAGGGGAGAGAGGGTACTTTAAAAACGCGCTACGAAAAGATAATAGATTTTACGAAGGGGAAAGAAAAATTAGCGAGCCAGAAAAGCGAGCAAAAGAAAAAAGAAAAGTTTCCGATTCCATCAAAATCCGATAAAAGACAGAAACTTTCCGATTCCATAATGAAGTCGAGAAAAAAATGAAAAGAATGGCAAAAGGAGGGGAGTGGGACAAATCCGACCTTTTTTTTGCGCACCCGGACATTTGCGCACCTTTTTTTTCCGCACCTTGCCCATTAGCGCACCTTTTTTCGCGTTTTAAAAAGCTCTAAAAAGCTAATATTAACCAATTTCTATTCCAAATTTTGTTTTTCTAGGTAATTTGAGGGTGTCGAATTCAAATTTTGACATAACAGAGCGTGTGGAACCAATTTGAAAGACAAAACGGCTAGATTTGTGGCGGGGTCCTTTTATGGCGTCGGGTTACGGTAGTTTCCGACGTTTGGCGCGGAAGCGTCTGGAAAAGAAAAAGTGACAAAAAAGCGTTTTATTTTTTGTTTTTTTTTTTTTTTTTTTTTTTGTATATTTTTTTTTTTTTTGAGGTTTTTAAAAAATTTTTTAAAAAATATAATAAATTTTTTAAATTTTTTTTTTATATTAAAATTTTTAAAATTAATTTTTTATTAATTAAATTTTTTTTTAAAAATTAAAAATAGGGGGAAAAAAATTATTTTTGGTTTTTTTTTTTTTTTTTTTTTTTTTTTTTTTTTTTTATATTTTTTTTTTTTTTTTTTAATTAATTTTTTTTTTTTTTTTTTTTTTTTTTTTTTTTTTTTTTTTTTTTTTTTTTTTTTTTTTTTAAAGAAATTTTTTTCCCCCCCCGAATTTTGGGGGGGGGGGGCTGGGGCGCCTTTTTCTCCCTCCCTTGTACGCTCCTTTTTTTTTTTTGCGGGCCTGGCCTATCCCCCCTCCTTTCCCCCCCCCTAATTATATATCCATAATTTATATTTCATATAAAAAAAACCGTAAACCCAAAAAAAAAATTACCCCAGAACTCCATAATAGTTTAATTTATGGATTATTGATAAAAAAGGGAATAGGTACCATATTAATAATTTATATTAATTATTAATATTATATTATTATGAAAATATATACAAAAATATATTGCAACACAAAAAATAATAAAATACACACCCTACAAATTTCTTTAAATTTTAAAAAATTTAACTATAGGAACCCCGCTCCGTAAAAAAAAAAGTTATTTTTTCCCCCCCCCCCGAACTCTCATCATTTTTCAATCATTTTTTTCTAAGCGCTCGTTAACGCTAAAAATATGTTATATCTCAAAAAATTACCCATTTTCTCTACTTTAATTTGATACTAAAGTGCGCAGAAACAAACGTACTGGTGTCGAGATATGAGCGTTTGTTTGAGAGTAAACTTAGACTACGCGATTACAGAAAATTGTCGATTTTTCTCTTTGTATAACTCCGTCCGTTTGTTTCCAAAAGCTCTGATATGTCAAAATTTCGATTCTACGCCCTAAAATTACCTAGAAAAATAGAAAAACAACATTTGGAATAGAAATTGGTTAATATTAACTTTTTAGAGCCTTTTTAAAACGCGAAAAAAGGTGCGCTAATGGGCAAGGTGCGGAAAAAAAGGTGCGCAAATGTCCGGGTGCGCAAAAAAAGGTCGCATTTGTCGCACTCCATCAAAATTCCATCAAAATCCGATAAAAGGCAAAGAAACTTTCCGATTCCATAATGAAGTCGATAAAAAAATGAAAAGAATGGCAAAAGGAGCATTTTTGTGTGGGGTACGGTAGCGCATCCACGCTTTAGAAAGCTCGCCGCGCTGCTTTTGCGCCAGATCTTTTCCAGATCCTTTCCAGATCCAGAAACGGCAAGTAAATAAGAATCTAACTAATCTAATCTAACTAATTGTAAGAGCAAATCTCATTGAGAGATGGATCTGTATCTAATTTTTCGATTTAGTGGCTCTATTCACGGCCGGGGTGAAGACAAATATCACTTTGGAGAAGCGATGTGAAGAGGTTTATTGAAAAAGATGGATAAAATGGATTTATTTTGAAATCACAATACCTACGATTAGGAAACTAACAATAAAAAAAGTCATTTTTAGTGTATTTTGTGCTTAAACTTGTAAATACATCCTTTCTAATGCAATGAATTCCTCATTTTTGACTATTGGAGAAACTATTGAAGAAAACTAAGAATTCAGTACAACAGGAAGTGCTTAAGTACAACAGGAAGTACACCAGTTTACCACAAGTACACCACCAGTTTACCCTCATGGTAACTTGATATTTCTATTTGTTTATCCTTTAATAGATCGGCGATAATTGTATCTGTGGAAAAGGGCTTGTTCTTGACGCCAACACGCAGCAGTGCCGGAAGGAAATCGACGTTTGAAATGAAGAAAGATTTGTGTATTCAAAAGTTTCCAGATTCACGCTGATTGCTTCATTTTCCTTAAAAAAGTCCTCACTGCAACGGGGAAAAGTTGAATTTTTTTGCATAAAAATAGCTTTAAATAAGTTCTAGTGGCTCCGAAAGTTGCGGACAGTTTGGTGAGCATTTGCAAGAATCAAGAGGCTTTTGCGGTGAATGGTTAGTTTTATAGTTTGAAAAGGGATTCAATTCAAATAGGTAGATGGGTACACTGTTTAGATTTAGCTTCACTTTACCACATCACATCAACTCCCACCATTTTTCTTTCCAGGAACCGATCGGGAATACATTTGTGCTCAAGGATACCTCGTGGCAAATGAGAAACGTTTCGGTGGAAAAGAAGCGAGATGTTTGTGAGTGAAACTGTATGATTAGGGCCAGCTGAAATTGCCTAATGACGTTTTTGATGGGTTTTTGTCGCCGTGGCGTAATCGGGAGCGTAACGTAATCGGGAGCGTAACGTAATCGGGAGCGTGACGTAATCGGGAGCGTAACGTAATCGGGAGCGTATCGTAATCGGGAGCGTAACGTAATCGGGAGCGTAACGCAATCGGGAGCGTAACGTAATCGGGAGCGTAGCGTAATCGGGAGCGTAACGTAATCGGGAGCGTATCGTAATCGGTAGCGTATCGTAATCGGTAGCGTATCGTAATCGGGGGCGCGCTTATCTACCGCTCACACGATAGATAAGCCCCCGTAGCCTTTACCTCCTTACTATCGACCTGCTCACTATCGACCCCCCGTAGTTTTCAAAAACTTCAACATTGAGTGGCACTACGGGGGATCGAACATTGAGTGTCACTACGGGGCCTCATGTGGGTCCTAGACGAGCGCGCTCCCGCTGCGCCACAGCAACTACAGCGACACAGCGTCGTCCTCGAAAGATCCAGCTAGAAAAACCCACCCAACGGCTTAACCAGCTGAAAAACGCCTCGATGGGGGTCGAACCCGGGTTGTGTGAGCTGTATCCAAGCGCGCTCCCTCTGCACCACAACCACTATACGTCGACGTCGACTAAAAATTTCAGTTTTTTTAGCCCAATACAGACGGACGGACAGACAGATATTGTTCTTTTATATATATATTAAAGTAGATGTCAAAATAACTCGTTTACTAATTTTCGTAGGTAAACTTTCGCTCTTTTCACCCTTTCAATTTTGGCGCAATCTACGGCCCACACAACACACAATAATTAGACTTTCTAATGAAACAAACCGTAGTTCAATTGGTGCATTTATTGGTTTTAAACGGAAGTACAAAAAAACGAAAAGACTCTGAACAGCCATGAAAGAATGAAAAGGTTTAAGCTGTGGACGAGACGATCTCGGATTGTACAATGGAAGTTGTGTGAAGAGAGCTGAAGCTGTAGCGAAATGTGCTGATGGAAGAAATAGTTGGAAAGAAAATCTAAAATTATCTAAAGCCCAAGTATTTTAGGCACTTTATGCCAGATTGCTAATCAAGTTTCGACAACATCCGCATGTGTACAAGTGAAGAAGTTCAAGTGTGGAGAAAAGGGTAGAGTTGAGGAGGAGACTGAGGAGGAGACTGAGGAGGAGACTGAGGAGGATACTGTAGTCAAAGAGGAATACTGTAGCCAAGGAGGAGTCAGTATTGATGGAAAGATACGGTAGCTATTGGTTACTGTAGCTATTGGTTAGTAGCTATTGGTTACTGTAGCTAAGGAGAGCCAAGCGTAGCCTTACAATGCAAATATTAGTAAAGCTGTACCCTATAAAGTAAAGAAAACAAAGAAGTTTGTTTAGCGTAAATGCAAATTCTAGATTTTTCATTGAAAATGAGAATTCAGTACATTAGAAAAGAGCGTTTGAGTGAATTTAAACAACTATTGGATGTTGACGGATCCGTTTTAACTCCAGAACTTTAGCTGGAACGGGCGCAGTCACCAATGAGAACGTGTGCAAAATTGGCGAGTGCTATTGTCCGGGTAAAAACGAGTAAACAAATTTCATCAGATAAAATGAATTCAGATGGATTTGTTGAGAATGAAGCTGGAAAATGTTTACTGCTCAATGATGCTCTCCAAGCTTGCATTGATGCTTTTGTTCTGATGAATAAATGTAAGTTAAGAGTACAAAATGATATACAGAAGTAGATTTCAAATGAATCTTACAAAAGCAAAGGTACGGGTACTGTAGCTATTGCTTACGGTAGCCAAGGAGTACTGTAGCTATTGCTTACGGTAGCCAAAGAGCACTGTACTCCTTGGCTACTGTACTAGTACAGTAGTCAAGGAGGAACTGTACTGTAGTCAAAGAGACTGTCCTAAGGTATACTGTAGCCAAGGAGGGACGCAGAAGATGTAGTAGATTACGGTAGATTGCTAGGTAGATTGCTTACGGTAGCCAAGGAGCCAAGAGTTTGTAGCAAATGCAAATTCATAAATCTACCGTACTCTCTGAAAAACAAAGAAGTTTGTTTAGCTTGTGGTGCAAGCGAGACCCTTCTTTCGTGTCAGCAAAACGAGTTCACGTTTATGGGATGCACTTCGACAGGTTTAAGAAAGAAGGTCACCGTAATTCTTGTATTAAAGCGACATGTCGTTCTATTTTTCAATACCTCCAAAAACTGTCGTTCTATTAGGAAATGTCGTTCTATTAGGACATTTCGTTCTATTAGAATCTATCGTTCTATTAGAACCTATCACTCTATTAGAACCTATCGTTCTATTAGAACTTATCGTTCTATTAGAACTTATCGTTCTATTAGAGTATGTCGTTCTATTAGAACCTATCGTTCTAAGGCTTCTATTAGAACGATAGAACCTATCGTTCTAAGGTTCTAATTGAACGACATACTCTAATAGACCTATTGTTCTATTAGAGTATGTCGTTCTATTAGAGTATGTCGTTCTATTAGAACATGTCTCTCTATTTTTCAAAGCTCATTTTCTTGCTGTCTCCGACCAATGATCGTTGACTCCAAATCCAATTGTGACTCCAAATCGTTTTACGGCAGCGTTTTTTGATGCTTCCTTTGCGTATTGATGATTTCCAATTTGGTTGAGGCATCAAAAGCTCGGCGCTTTTTTTCCCCTTGGATATAAAAAGAGCAATGCATCTCCTCCATCGTCAGCCTTTTGTTCTTCACCAGCTGCATCTACTTCATGAACATCATCTTGATTCTCCTCTTGCAAATCCTCAAATCCTCGAGCATACCTAAAAGAAAAATAATACATAATATTAAAAAAACAGTAGTGAAAATCAGTAAACAAAAATAGAAAAGAAAAACAATGTTTGCTATGCGCTTTGAAAAAATGAAAAAATGTTTGATATGTTAAAAAGGGTGTCTATTGGAGCATGTCGTTCTAATAGAAGAATTACGGTACTTTCTTTATCCATATAAAAATTAAAATGAGTAAATGAACAAGTTTACTGCAGTTGTTTACAAAAATCCTTACCTTTAAGTTCCACCTGAGAGGAGTGCAACGCTGGCGATCCTCGTGCCAATTTTCCATGATGACTGTCGACAAAAGAATGAGCTGAAATGTAGATGCAATCTGGGATTTGGTAAGAAAAATTAGTTTTAAACTCACTTACTTTAAGCTTCTCAGATAATATAAGATATCTGGTTTATTTTGGGCTCGCTAGCATGCGAAAAGAAGTTGAAAACAAAATCTAATTCTGTTACTTTTTCTAAAGACAATGGAATTACGGTAGTCTTTTTGAATCGCACCTTTTAGACCAAGAGAAATAGAGTCGGCAAAAAAAGTCTTGCACCATTGTCTCTCAGAGACTTAAAACAAAAAATTGTAACAAACGTTTGTAGCTTTTGTAACAAACAAAAGACCTACAGAGACGATTCAACGACAATTCCACGACTGCAGAAAAAAAGACAAATGAGGGAACCCCTGAAAATTCGTCATTTTACATGCAAATTGATTGTTTTTGAGTCAGACTCAGTTACTAAAAGTACAAACGGTGAAGGTATTAAATGTCGTCTATACCTTAGTAAACAACAGAATACAACAATGGTGCAAGACTTTTTTTGCTTTCTAAACCGGCTGTCTCTGATAAAACTTTGTTTTATGTAAAAAGGCTTCTAATAAAAATGGCTAATATGTCCGGAAACTAGACAAAAATAGTAGAATTAGTTGTTAAAAAAGTTTTCTCTGAAACGATTATTTTTACGGAAAATTTTTTGTTTTAAGTCTCTGAGAGACAATGGTGCAAGACTTTTTTTGCCGACTGTAGAGTCTAGTTTTGATTAACATTTCAATAACTCAAATTTCAGCTCGAGTTCCTTCGGCGGGAAAATGCATCTCAGTGGCCGATGTGGAAGCCTCTTGTCACACTTGAAAATCCCAAAATGAATCTAATCAATTGAATATTTCTCTGATAAATGTCAGCAAGCATTGTTGTTTTGAAGTTAGAAAAGGCTTTCGAAAAAAAAGCGTACAAAATTTGGACATCAATTTTATTTGTTTTGGTATTTTCAAGCTATCGAGAAGCTGAACTTTCAGCCTTTAAATCCGCCCCTTTTATCAAAGTGAAAATATTCAGCTGTTAGATTGAATATTTTAATGCCACAGCAAAAAACTAGAGCTCTCTATAAAAGGCAGAAATTGGCAAAATTTTCCTGATTTGTGGGGGTGTGAAAAATGCTACCTTTTTTGCGCACCCGGGCATTTGCGCACCCGGCCCATTAGCACACTCTTTTTCGTTCTCGTTTTAAAAAAGCTAATATTAACCAATTTCTATTCCAAAAGTCGTTTTTTTGGGTAATTTTAGGGCAATCTGAAACTTAACCGAAAATCAATATTTTTTCACGAAAATTTGTACACAGGGGTTTTGACTATGCCGAATCGATTAGTAATACTTCTATAACTTTTTTGGTACTTGTGAATCTGTTGCACGAACATTGTTTTGAAATTTTGCATATAAACTGTTTGAAATTAATTTTCTAAAAACGTTCGGAAACACCTCTAACCCTTAGTAGCTTACGTTCCCTTTAACTGAAAATAACTTTTTTATAAAGTTAAAGCGACGATTGGATTAGTGGCGCCTTTCTAAGACTATTTGTTCAGAATCATCACGCAATTTTTTTCTCACTGGTTTTTAGTGCCTAAAAATTAGCCCCTTAGATGTGTCATTAGTCCCTCATTGGCTCAAAAGCTCAAACATTTTATTCCAGTGATCAATTTTTTTTTAGATGCAAGACGAAACTTTTTATAAAGTGGCTACGATTAATGGACGTCAATTCACACTTTCGAAGAAAGCCGCCGAACTTTCAACAACGCTCGTAAACGTCATTCAGGTTCAGACTTTCAAGTCGTTGCACTTGTAACTGAAGTTTAGGCTTACGACCTTCTCACCGACGAGGCGATTGCGCGAATGGAGCCAATTCAGCTTGCTGTTGAAAGCGAGCATTTTCATTTCGTAAGTAGTTTCGATAAATTTTTAATGTACACTTTTCAAGGTTCAAAAATGGTTGGAGACACATCGTGATGCGCCACCATTCAAAGACGAAACCGAAGTGTGCTTATCTTCAATGTAATAAGATTATAGGTGTTTTAGGTGGGAAGATCTAACCGAGCCCGATCTGCTTAAATGGGAAGCTGGGTTCTTTGCCGATCTGCTCGACGAGCAGCTTTTCCACATTTTCAAGGTAGTGTTGCATATATTAACTTAACTTTCTGGTTTCAGGCTTCCAACTACTTAGACATCAAAAGCCTTCAAACGAAATGCGCAAAGGCAATCGCTGCCATGATCACGGTATCACTTTAATGTATAACCTTTACATATTGTGAGTTGAGGGCAAATCGGAGACGCAAATTTACGAGATTTGGGGACTTTCACGAAATGTCTTTAGCGCTCAAGAACAAGCAAACTATCGGTAATGATTTTTGAGAAAATATTTTGGAAAAGGCTAGTAAAATGAGGACATTTTTCCACATTTTAGCCTCGGGAATCCTTGGGAGGCGATCCTGCAAAATATGGCAACGCAAAAGTAGACTTCGTCATGCTTTAATTCTCCGAATGCACATATCTTAATCATCTTTTTCTCGTTGATATTCTTTTTACGTTCGTATTATCTTTTTGTAAATCTTTAGTTATTCAATAAATTTTAACCAAAAGTTTGTTTAATCTTCGGGTTAAAAACTCTTGGAAATATCTATTTTGAGTTTATCAAAAGCGGTTTTGGTTTAGCCGTCTGGTCGTTTGTCAATGAGTACTTTTTAGTTTGCCTGCAAAAGATGGACGAACAAGTTGCCTACAAATTTACTGCCAAAGATGGAAAAATTTTCACTCTTTCAAAAAACTCCGCACAACAATCATCAGTCATCATGAAAGCAATTGAGGTAGGTAACAATTCAGGGTTCTGTATAATCCTAAACAAATTTATAAGTGTGTTCAGCGAAATAATTCCCGATCCTACACGCGAAAGAAGCGCGGTGTTCTTAACCTAAAATTATTTTATGAGAAACTTTACTTATTGTACTTTTCAGAGTTTCTCTCTTAAAGACGACGAATCAATCAAAAACATGGAGCCGATTCCCCTGCTTACAATTGACAGTCACACATTTGAAATGGTTAGTCTTTATGTTGTCTACATGAATTGTGTGAAAATTTTAGTTGAAGAGCTGGCTCGAGTTTCATGAAAATGCAGCCGAATATGAGGAAGGTCCCTCTTACTGGTTTTGATTTTGATCTAATATTCGTGATGTTTTGCTGTTTTTAGGCTGTCTGAGAATTATGATGAAGACTTGGACGAATGGGAGGTCAATTTCATTACCGATCTTAGCAATGATGAACTTTTTGATATGATTATGGTATCTTTGCGTTTGACTCTGTAAACTAACAATATTTTAGGCTGCCGACTATTTGGACATCAAATCTCTTACGCATAAATGTGCCGAGGGATTCGCTAAGCTCATTGAGGTAACTTTACTTTGATTTATTTTTACATACCTTTTAAGTTCAAATCAGCCAAAGAAATTTCTAAGAGATGGAGAATTACCATGGATTTCTCGTCTGATGAAGCTGAGGAGATGAAGTATGCTTATTGCTTTGTGTATTTCTTAGACTTTCTTGATTGCTGATGCCTTAACGAGTAGTTAGTTAGGTATCATTCTTATCTGTATTCACTAACTACTCATCAGCTAAGTCTAACATCGCCGATAAGTGCATAGCTAGAGCTTTTAGCAACAAATTAATTTAATCTGTTTTCAGGACTGAAGATCCATGGGAGGTCGTTATGAAGCCACACAAGGAGGTCAAGAAAAGGAAGAAACCTACCAAAGGCCCTGGTCCATCACGACCCCAAAAACGACGTTATGGTGCTTCTTAATTAATTCTTTATCACTCACCTTTGTTATTGGCTCGTTAAGTCGTTTTGATTCTTTGTCAATGTACTTAATTTTTCTGATTAGTCAAAACCTTTTGCAAGATTAAAATGTTTTCTCGCTTTGTATATGTATTTTCTCGACAATCAATAAATGTTGATAAATTGATTTGGTGTGTAACGGAAAGCTTTATATGGTTGTATTGGATTTTTTTTCTGAGGTGAGGCGATTTTAAACATAATGCATCGCGTGCGGTATCAAATATTACTGTAGTCACTGACTCTTTAAATGTGGGGTCACAAATTTTGCGTTAGACCAGATCCTTTATTTACGTTATTTGTATCAAGTTCATCGAATAGTTAACGTATAAACAAAATCTTTCAACTTTTTGCATATAAAAAAGCCGGTCAAACAGCCTTCGCGGTAATTTGTACTCGCGCGTATCGACACCCTGCGTAAATCATTTTTTCACTTTTTCTCTTCATCAGCTGCATTGATTTCATAATTAGCACAAATTATAAGTATTACGGAGCTTCAAACTAAAGCCAGATCTTTGCAAGTTTTTGAAGAGTTTTATATTTTGGCTTTTACTTGAAAACTTTGACTTCTTTAGCTAAATTGAAAACATAAATTTCATTTATTTTTAGATGGCTTGTAGCACTGAGGAATGTCATGTGGCCATCGTGGAAAAATCGTCGACTTGTTCATCTAGCTTGTTAGGTAGGTTGCTGTTTTAAGGATTATAAAGTGCTGATGATGTGTAAAAGAATCTGAGCTTTACAGGGTCATCTTTTATTGCTCAAAACTAGTTATTAGATCATATCATCATGTTGATTACATTAAAAAAATTAACTTATCTTATATTTTTTTAGTCAAGTTTGTTGCTTTTAGATCTACAACTCAATCACACCGACAAGCAGGAGATTGTGTTTCGAGGACGGTCCGTTCGCCCCGATCAATGGCTAGAAATTGCCAAACAATGCAAATATCTACCCGAAGAGGATATGCTGGCTTTGTGTAATTTGTAAGTCCTATAAAATAAAGTCTTAAAGCTTGCCTATTTAGAGTTGTCGAAAGGTTAATCACCATGCCAAATATTGTCGCTGTTGACTTGCCGGTGACAATATGTGGAGATATCCATGGACAATTCTACGATTTGCTCGAGCTGTTTCGGTGAGTTTGAATCAAGATTATGATTAAGCCCAACTTTTGTTTCTCAAACAAATACACGAAATCATACTTATTTTAGTGTTATAAATTTCAGGACTGGTGGCGAAGTTCCGAACACAAAATACATCTTTATGGGTGACTACGTGGACCGAGGACATTATTCGCTTGAGACGCTCACATTGTTGTTTTGTCTATTCTTGAGGTTAGTAAATCGGCTTTCCTTTAACTGTCATTTTTTTTAGATACCCGGACCATGTCACTCTCCTACGCGGCAATCACGAATCCCGCCGTATTTCATCAGTTTATGGTTTTTACGATGAATGCATACAAAAATATGGGCACCCAATTGTATGGAAAGTGTGTTGTGAGGTTTGGATCTACAATTTTTATCTTATGAAAATTTGTTTTAGGTTTTTGATTTGTTGCCATTGGCTGCAGTGATAGATGGTGATGTTCTATGTGTTCATGGAGGGTTATCGCCAGAAATTCGTTCGCTTGATAAAATCGCGTTTTTGGATCGCAACAACGAAGTGCCAGCAAAGGTATGTTTACTTGACACAAAATTATAGTACTTTTTGCGAAACCCAAAACCAATTTGGCTCTTTTCAACTGCTCACCTCCTTTAAAAAAATTGACCTCTTTAATTTTTTTTCTTTTGTGCCGCGTTGATTGTGATACCATTCTGTAAGGGCCCCTTTCACACTAAATTCTTTAGTCAACAATGTTAAAGTTTCCACCGCACAATCTTGATAGAATTCACGATAATGCGGCCATCGCTCTTGAATTGTGGTGACAGAAATGTCCAAGCTAGAACGAATTTCCGTGAGAGTTGCCTAAATGATAAGCTTGTATATAAAGATTAAGTTGGATTAATACTTGAGGACGAAAAGCCCAACTGTCAAACGAAGTTCTTCATGCAAAGACAAGTGGCCCCCCGTAACAAACATCTCTTACTTAATAGCTCAATGCGGAAATTTCTTTTTTATTTTGTTTAGACTGGTTTTTAGCATTTTGCATTGCAAAAAATAAAACTTTTCGGTTTTTTGCACAATCAGCACGGCACAAAAGAAAAAATTATGGAGATCGATTTTTTAAGGAGGTGAATAATTGAAAGAGCCACAAATTTTAAATAATTTTAAATTACCGATCTTTATTTCAAGGTTGCTTGACTTGGATTGCAATATCCATATTTTCATCTTTCACCCGACCAGCCACCATAATTACTTGCTTTTAGGGAGCAATGTGTGATCTGATGTGGTCAGACCCAGAAGAAGATGAAGATGGATGGATGATTAATCCTCGAGGAGCTGGATGGGTAAATTTAAACCATTAAGTTTATCTACGATAATGTTTTAGATATTTGGAGAGACGGCCACGCGTCAATTCCTAGATGCAAATGGTTTCGATTCATTGTCTTCGCCATACATATATATATATCGCTTTAGGTCTATCACTTGTTTGTCGTTCACATCAACTTGTTCAAGAAGGATTTAAATACATGTTTAATAAATGTCTTTGCACTGTTTGGTCAGGTATGTGGTTTGTTTGTTAGCTTAAATAACTATAATTCAGCGCCTAATTATTGCTATCGCTGTGGCAATATAGCAGCAGTACTCGAACTGGATATTGACGGGCGAAGAGAGGTTATTTCTAAACAATTTCTTTTGTAAAATAGCAAGTATCAGATCGTAGTGCGTGTGATCGTAATATCAGCCATACATTAGCTAAATTAGTGATTCTAAAACTGTTCTATCTCATTTTAGCCCAAATATTTTGACGCCGTTGCCGAAGAAAATCGAATAAAGCCTGAGCGTGCAGTGATCCCATATTTCCTATAATAAAACAAACAAGATTTTTATAACTATGTTTATTTATGTGCATACGGGTTATTTATTAGTTTGATTTATTATGATTATTTATTAGCTTGGTTTGATTTCTTTTTATACCGTTTTTCAAAGTACAATAAAAAGTTACAGATTTTCCGAATGATTTTGTGCAGTGAAATGGCTTTTGTTTATTTGAAAAAATGCACAACAACAAAAAGTGCGAAATAGGCTCACCCTAATGTATCCATGCGATTTAAAAAACGACGAAGGACACTATTTTCCACTTTAACAATCGTCAACTTCACCAAAAATTACCCCAGTAAAGTAACATTGAGGAGGAAACTGGCACGCTAAACTTATGCTCAAAACTTTTATTCTGTCTTGATTTTATCTTAAAAAGTAGAGTTTACGCTCGATTTATATGTAGGCTGCTCTCGGGGATTTTGGTTGCTTCCTAAACTTTGCCCCTTTTCTTCTCTCTTTGAGAGCCGAGTGTATGACCGGCTCTCGTGAGACCTCTATTTTCCCCTTTCCCCCTCAAAGCTATGCACCTTCTCCATTGTGAAAGCAGCTAAGAATATATCCTTTATCATCCATTTTTCTTGCGCAAATTGCTTTAATGAGTTCGTATATTTGTCTTTTTATAAATTTTGAGAATATATTGATTACTTTAGATATGATTGAAGAGCTTGTAAAAGCTACAGCTGAAAACGATTGGAACAAGGTTCGTCAGCTGCTTCATTCACATTGGCAACAAAATTGCCCGAAGTTGTTTTCTTCGAATCCAGATGCGCCGTGGGATCTCAGTTACGATGAACTAGCGATAAGTAGGTTTTGATTACCACAATTGTTTACACTGTTGCTAAATTTTCTAAACATTAGTCCAACCTGGATTTTTATTTTATTTTTTAATAAAGGCTTTATTTGAAAAAAGCACCGTGATTTTATTCTTCTAGATTCATCACTCTTCCGCCCATTGGCCGCGGCTTTTGTGCAAAACGTCGAAACGACCACAACTTCTTTGCTTTCCTTGAATGAGGAAGCTGGTGTGTTTCATCGGTTTTCTTCGAATCCGAACAATGTTGTTTAGGAACAAACCCAACTGATCGCCGCCCTGGGCAAATTTGTGGCTATGTCTTCAAATGTGGAGAGCCAACTTATTCGTGCAAGTAAGGATTTTTAAAATTTTAGAATTTCAATTTTTAGCTTGATCTAAATTGTATCTTTTCAGAGAATGTGCCACAGATCCAACTTGCGTTTTGTGCAGGGAATGCTTCAATAACTCTATTCACAAGAATCACAAATATCGGGTAAACCTCGGAAGATTTTTTTAATGAACTTTTCCAGATGAGCACCTCTGGAGGAGCTGGCTACTGCGATTGTGGGGATAAAGATGCATGGCGTGAAGGACATGCGTGTAGCACTCACGCGGTCGATGGGGAATTAGCTGACAAGATGGATGCCCTGTAAATAATTTCTACCAGTGCACTTTATCTTGGTTTTAAGATCCTCGGACAAGAATATCCCGCCAATTTTGTACAATCGAATCTATGGATTGACGGCTATCCTCTTACAATATTCGACGCAAATGCTTTGTTGGCAGAATGAGGAGAAACATCCGGCTTTTACTAAAAGGTTTGGCTTTTAAACAAATCGGAGGGACAAGTTTTTTCAGCCCACCAGATTTTTCACCTGCATTCCAAACGGTACTGTTCAATGATGAGACGCACACTTATGAAAATGTAAGCTTGTTAAGAAGCAAAGAACTGTTTCAAAAATTTAATATGATATTAATCTTTAACCAATTCAGGTGATACGGGCATTGGATATTGCAATCAACTGCACACATAATCAAGCGATGACGCTGGCTACTATCGTCGATCGCGAAGGACGAAGCACTGTTCGGGCTGGTAATCGAGCAAGTTGTGAACGTGTACGCGATGAAATAATCGTAAGTGCCATTCAACTTGATTTGTCAATGCAAATTTTAGCGACGAACGCAAAAAGACACGAATCGCGTTACTGAAAAAACCGGGCCATTGGTTGTCAAGGTATATTTCTGTACTTGATGTCAAAGTCTTGTTTTTAGGTTTACGAGAGTGGATTCATCTGTCATCAAATTCATGCAATTCAAATAATTTCGTGGCTGAATCAACAAATTGAACACTTTCGTAAGTTTAAACTTATTTATGAGGAACAACAAAAAATTTTTAGCGATTCTCAGCAACATTATTGGTGACGTTCTACTAAATGTTGAAGCTTTGGACGACGAGTTGAGTGAACAGGAAAATCCGGAGGACTTGATGGAAGTCTGCAAACAAAAGCTTGTCGAAAAGTTCATGTATTGCGATCGAAAGTTGTGGAAAGGTTTTCTTGCACAGTATTCATTCGTTCATTTTTCCATTTAGCTGCTCGTTCGAACTTTCACCAAATGTTAATGAAAACAGTGCTAATGGATATGCAACAGAAATACGAGTTCAGCAAGAGATTTTTGAATGTGTGTTTATGGTCAGTAAACAAGTTTCATTGCTTTTTCAGATGTACACGCACATGTATGAAGACTTTTGTGACGATGATCATAAACATGATGTAAGCGGAACACTGATTGCTTGGTATTTATCTTTTCTTGTAGGTTTCAATTGTTTCGCTGACTGTGCAATTTTTCACCATTCCGTCGTTTGCACGAAGATTGATCGGTGAGGAGGACGCAATCACAAGAATCATCGCTAACTACACCCGTCATACTGCTAAATATGTGGCACCGGGTATGTGACAGATTGTCTAGCTGGGAAGTTAGTGAAGCTATCCTTTATTTACGCAAACTTGAGCACCCTAAAGAATATAAGCTATTATAAAATCTGACAATTTAGACCCAGTGACCAATAAAAATCGATTCGACTTTACAACACAAGGTTTTACCGCAATTCTGAAGCGAGCGATGCACATGCTTCGGGATATTGAGTTGAAGACTTTATAAATTTTAAATAACATTTTTTGTTAGCTATCTGTTGAATCAAGTACCAAAACCAAACGAGTGGAACCCAGAACTCCGTGATGGTTTTGTACGTGGAGCACAATCTTTCCTCGATTATTTGCACCTGATGCAGGTACGTTCGCATTTCGTCTTCGTGTTGCCAATTTGAAAACACTTTTTTTAGGGTATGGATCCGGTTAAACGACAACAAGGAGAACACAAGACTTGGGAGCCCGAGTGGGAAACAGCTTTTAACATTCAAATCCGTCAACAAGAGATTATTTCTATGTTTATTGCTTGGTGCTTGTCAGATGTGGGTTTTGCTGCGTTTATGTTTTTGCATCTGAACTTGTAGTCTAACCCTAATTGTGCATTTTAGTTGGAAGTACATCACCGAATGCTCATTCTTTGCTTGGAAGCGTGTTCAAATCAAAAACCCAGTGTGACGGATCCTGGAGAGCCAGGCGAAACGAAGACCATTGTCAAAAGTGAGATCAATATGAAAATAGGCCTATAAGATTTATGTTAGGGTTGGCCTAGAAATTGGAAGGAAACTAATAGGATCTGAACTTGGAAAATCGAAGAAGAAAGAGTTTAATTTTTAGTTGCCAATAAGGAAACGGTTGTTCCATCGTTTGATGTACTTCGAGGCTATGTCTCAATCCATCAACCAATTTACCGCTTTCTGTCGGGTCTTTTTTGCAGCAGACAAGTAATTAAAGAGGTTTTGTAAACCTATCATTCTTTTAGTTCTATGCTACAATTCTTGCAAAAGGAGAAGGGTGCAAGCTCAGCTATTGAAAGTATGATTCTACAAAAAATTGAGGCCATGGATGTAGATTTGTACGAAATGGCTCTACGGTAGAATGATTTATATAATTCAAAAGCTTGGCTTTAGGGTATTTGTGTTGTGCGCTCAATCAACTGCTGGATTATGGCGAAGAAATGGATTCTCACTAGTCAATCAGATACACAATTACCATTCGCCTTTGTGCCGAGCCGAGATGTTTGATCGAGATTTGCTTTTGCTACAGGTTCGGAAATTTAACGACCTATATTAGCATCGTGTTCTGTGTAGTAATTAGTTAAGTACTAGCAATAAAGTGTACGGACGGTTATGACTTTTCGTTGTTTGAGATGCTTTGATCCAAGAAAGCTAGAAACCCTTTGAATGACAAAACAATAACTCACTGACAAAGTTGTGCTTTTTGTGCCTGCTTGATGACAAAGTTGTCACGCTTTGTAAATGATTTTCGTAGTTTATCATCTCATTTTAGGCGGGTGCCGCTCTCACAGAGGGATCCCGATTCTTGATGCACTTAATGCATCGATATCGAATCGACAAATGGGCTGATGAAAGTTTTGAGGGTTTCACAAAGTAAGTTCTGTTACATCTTTCTAAAGTTTAAATGGTTTTAGGGAAACCAATGTGTTTGGTCCGAAGATCGAGATGGAGGAGAACTCAAAGTTTTTGGTCTCTTTAGCGGAAGATTTTCTCCATACACTTGTGATGATTGTCGGTTAGTTAAAGTATGAAAAAGTCAAAGGAATATGTTTTTAAGGTGAACGTTGCATCCCGGGCATCGGAAAATGTACACGTGAAGATCAACTTCAACGGGAACTCATTCAAATCTTGTCGATGGGTCCACAGCAGTTTAGTGCTGTAAGTTTGCTCGATGGTGTTTGTGATTAGTTGCTAACGAAAAGATAATTCACCCGGGCTGGGATGAAAGCTCCTTTATGGGGTGTAAGATTTTTATAGGGGCATAAAAATTTTATTGGGGGGAGGGGGTCATAAATAGTTAAAAAAAGTAACGTTCTATGGGGGTGGACCGGTGACTTCTCTTGTTTTGCGGAATGCAATCCAACCGCTTACACTCCAAATGCAAGGCTGGGTACACCGGTAAATGAAAGTACGAGTTTTAGAAGAAACTCAAAAACTAGATCTCAAACGGGCTTCTAGAATTTTCTTTCAAAAAGTTATATGAGAACGTTTTATAACTTTTCTATGGGGTTCATAACTTGTTCACTGTGT